ATTGAGTCCTTTTTATCATGGTAAAGCTCAGAAGCACCGACACGCCAAAATGGCCGGCGTGTCCGTGTCGGATACGTATCCGACACAGACACGCGTTCAGGACTGGGGAACAGCGTGTCCCTTTTCCCAGTTTCCGGTGGACGCGGGCAGATGCGGGTTGACACTCTGCGTTTTTCACTTCTTTTAACTCAGTCCCAGCTCCAGAAATCCGATGCCCTAACATTTTCAGCTCCAATCGACCCCCTTCTCGTGTTTTCTGCTCTGTAGCTTCACTGCCTGTGTTGGTCGTTCTCGTTCTTCATCTCTCACGTTTATTCACACTGCCTCGCCGTCTGCTCTGCCTGAGTCTTCGTATTTGACTGTCTGCTCTGCCTCAGCGTCTTCGACCGTCTGCTCTGCCTCTGCCTCACCATCGTTCTTCAGCTTCAATCTTGGTAATTTGTTCAGTTCTTCATGTATGGTCATTCTTCGATGCGCTGCCTCTCATTCTTTATGTATCTATCAGATTTGGCTGCTGATTTCGAATTTCTTATTATTGCATTATTGGATAATTTGCTCACTGCTGAACCGAGAGAGAGCCAGAGCAATTGATTAGTTTTCAAATTTAATACTGAATTACTGATTTAATTTTTTTTTATTTAGATAGATTATTTTGTTGAATTAAACATTGATTTATTTTAAATTTTTATTAGCTCTCTTTTTGTTAAAATTGCAGGATATTGTTTAAAATTAAACCTGCAATGGCTTCTAATTCTAGACCCGGTAGTAGTTCAGGAAGTGTGAATTCTCAATTTCAATCTAGTAATAAAAGACAGAAAGAGAGTACTCCTTTATGGGCTTATGTAACTTTGGTTCCTCAAGAAAATGAAGGGGATGGTGGAAATAGAAGTTGGAAGTGTAACTATTGTAATAACCAATATAATGGCTCTTATTTTAGAGTTAAATTTCATTTGTTGAGGATCTCTGGAAAGGGTATTGCTATATGCCCGAAAGTTGATGATAGTTGTTTAGGTGAAATGCGAAAAGCTCAAGAGGAGGCTGAAAATAGAACAAAACCAAGACATGTGCCATTGCCAACTCCAACTGAGAGCTTGTCTCCTTTATGTGAAAGGGGTTCTACCCCTATTCAAAGTGAACACAATCAGGGAAAAAGGAGGGCAATAAATACAATAGAAAGAGCTTTCCAACAAGGAGCTAGAGATAATTTAACTGCTGAAATTGCTAGAATGTTCTATTCGGCTAGCTTGTCTTTCAATTTGGCACGTAACCCATATTTTATAAGTGCATTTCAATATGCTGCCAACAATGTAATTCCTGGTTTTAAACCTCCTGGTTATAATGCACTAAGGTCTACTTTGTTGCAAAAAGAAAGGGCCAATGTTGAAAAGCAACTTGAATCAATTAAAGGGACTTGGAATCATAAGGGGGTAAGTATAGTTACGGATGGTTAGACAGATGTACAAAGAAGGCCATTAATTAATTTTATGGCTGTAAGTGATGGAAGTCCCATGTTTTTGAAGGCAATTGATGTAACTAGTGAGTATAAAGATAGATTTTACATGGCTGACTTGATAAAGAAAGTGGTTGAAGAAGTGGGGCCTCATAAAGTTATTCAAGTAATTATCCTCACATCTTTTGGACACCATGTGTGGTGCATACACTTAATCTTGCCTTGAAGAATATATGTGCAACAAAAAATACAGAGGCAAATGAAATTGTTTATGGAGAATGCTGTTGGATCACTGAGGTGAGGGATGATGCAGTCTTTATCCGAACATTTATCATGAATCATTCTATGAGATTGGCCATGTTTAATGAATTCGTGCCATTAAAATTGCTTGCAATAGCCGAAACAAGATTTGCATCAACAATTGTGATGTTGAAGAGATTCAAACTTATCAAAACTTCTCTTCGTACACTGGTTATTGGTGAAGAATGGAATGCTTATAGAGATGATGATGTTGGAAAGGCTGCTACTGTGAAGGACATAATTCTTAATGATCTTTGGTGGGAGAAGGTTGATTATATTCTCTCTTTCACTAAACCAATTTATGATATGTTGAGATTTGCTGACACAAATAGACCCACACTTCATTTGATTTATGAGATGTGGGATTCAATGATAGAGCAAATCAAGGAATCAATTTATAAGCATGAGAGAAAATCACTTTCTGAGTACTCTTCATTTTATGAAGTTGTTTATAACATCATCATTGATTGATGGACAAAGAGTGCCACTCCACTAAATTGTCTTGCCCACTCACTGAATCCTAGGTGTGTTATTCTTATTTTTTATCATGAAATTCTTTTCTTTATCATTTTTACATCACAACTCCAATTAATGTTATTATATTATTGTAGGTATTATACAACACAATGGCTTGAAGGTGGACTAAATAGAGTCTCTCCACATAGAGATGCTAAAATATCAACTGAGAGGAAAAAGTGCATTAGAAGGATGTTTCCAGATGAAGAAGAGGGGAAATTGGTTATGAATGAATTTTCAAAATTTTCTGGATGTTCAGATGAGTTCTCTTTTGTTGATTCCATACAAGATAGATGGGTATTAGAGCCTAAGGCTTGGTGGAGCAATCATGGTGCTGATGCTCCTAAACTTCAAGGGACTGCATTGAAACTTCTCAATCAACCATGCTCATCATCTTGTTGTGAAAGAAATTGGAGCACTTACTCTTTTGTTCATTCACTAAAGAGAAATAAGATACTTCCAAAAAGAGCAGAGAACTTAGTTTTTGTTCATTCAAATCTTCGTCTTCTTTCAAGAAAGAGTGAGAAGTATTCTACTGGAGAAAGTAAATTGTGGGATATTAGTGGAGATTGTTGGGAAATTGATGATGTTGAAAATCTTGAAGTTGCAAGTTTATCTCTAGATGAGCCAATTTTGGAGAGAGAACTTATAGGAGAAAGTGGTGGTGTCAATGAAGATGAGGAAGATTAGAATTACTTTAAGTTGATAATTATCTTTTGCCACTTGATAGTGTTTCAGTGCTTGACTATTTATTGTATTATATTTTGTTATGGCATTAGACATCTTGAAATTATGTTTTTAGACATCCAAATATTTAATATTTAATTATTTATATAGCCGTACCCGTATCCTAAAATTTTGAAAAATAGCCGTGTCCGCGTATCGTATCGTATCGTACCCGATACTCGTACCTGTATCGGTGCTTCTTAGTGATAAAGTAATGATTATCCTCTAATTACCATAGTAGAGTGTGTTGTTTATGGTTAATTGAACAGTAAATTATGGAGACATTTCAGAAGGCAGAAAGAGTACAAATAGAATACTACTGTGTTGCGAACTGATGGAGGAAGGTACAATGGCATATGTCGATCAGTGGTGTGTGAGAGATATACCAAGGTCATTGGATTTGCAGGCTCTGTGCAGAGGCAATGAAGGACAAGAAACAAAGGTCGGAGAGAGACATTACTACGGACGAAGCAATGAAGGGTCACAAGAAGTTCCTTCAACAATGGATGATTACTCTCTCCCCTCATCTCTCTACTATATTTATCAACAATAGAACGCCCGCATGCGTTGGGCTAATGTGCTTTTGTGTGTGTGTGTGTGTGTGTGTGTGTGTGTGTACTAGAATTGTGGAGAAAAAGTGGTTTATCTGTAAATAATAATGGTTGGGAGTTGAGGGGAAAGAGAAGAAAATGAAAGAAAGTGATGGGATCCCGACTTGTCAAGAGTTGTGAAAACTAGGCTAAGTTTACTAAAGAAGAGAGAGGAGAGAGGAAATACAGCCATGGATTCTAGGAAGGGGAGATGAAGTCATTGGGAAGCATGCGTGAAGCTATGTTGCCGCTTTGCCTTTGGAAGTTCTTCAAACCCAAGACTGGTTCGAAGCCTCTAATTCATCTTTATGGTCCTCTTCTACTTGCTATCCCATCCATTATGAGGTATACGTACCTTGATACTCATTGTCTCCACAACTTGTATGTTATTTCATGTTATGTATAAAAAGGAAGCCAAGTTTGGTTTCTGATCTGATGACTCTCTTCGTCACTTTCTCTTGTTTTCTTCTTTCTGAAGTCTGTTTAGATGACATTATAAACACAAGCCATGCATGACAAGAGACTGTTGCTATGTGAATTTTAACATGACTGCGTCTGCGTGTTTTAGTTTCACAGATAAAAAAAGAAAAAAAAAAGAAAAAGAAGAAGAAGAATATTGATGAGACGGAGCAAGAGCGAGCCTGGTGGAAGAGGAGGGCCAGTGTGAGAGAGGGGGGGAGAGAGTCATTAAGATTATGACTTGGACGTCACATGTGCAAAATGGTGGGACCCACAGGCAAAGAATTGGACTTGAAAAGCACATTAATGTTGGGATGATGAGGTAGCTCCTTGAATATTATTCAATTCTTAATCCTTGTGTTTTTATGTAAAGGAACATGAAATTTAATCTACACCAAAACTAAGGTCATCAAAATACAAAAACACCCTATTGCATGTTAGAAAAAACCGGTTCAAGTCATGCTTGAAGACATTGTTCTGAAGAGTTATTTCATCACACCAATCAAATGTGACAAATCTTCATAATTAAACGAATCCTTCCTAAAGAAACCAAGGTGACGAAACAATATAAATATATATAAAAAAAAAGTCAGGAGGAAGAAGAGAAGACTCAATTAAAGAGTGTTGTTCCACCAAACAATCTGTGGGCACATGATTATAGGCCCAACAGCCATGGGCGGTGTAAAGGCAAATAAAGAGAGCTTAATATGACATTCAAAGATGATTAACTATGACGTAATGACCATCATAAAAACCGTTTCTAAACATTGAAATTAAAGATAACGAATGGTGATTAAAATGCCCAACACCGCATCTAACTCAGAAACAGAAAAAAGGCCAAATCTCAACTATATTGGTCCGTTATTGTATGTGTGCGCCCAATTTTCTTCTTAACCCATTTACTTGCACAAATTCTCATTTTTTTTTTTTATATATATATGCATTAAGGCATCCTCATGTTTGAGCAATGCAAGACTTCTTTTGATATACACAAACACAAAAACTCCTACATTGCATAGTAATTTGCCTATCTGCAAGATAAAAAAGAAGGCAGCCAGAGTCGATGCGTGCACATCAGCACGAGGGGCCCACCCTATCTCAGCATTGTTAATGGAGTAACAAAAATAAACCTTAATTACAACGAATATGTACAGAGAAGGATAGTTCTTCTCATTAAACAAAAGATAAATAAAACTTTTTGAAGCTGCATAAATAAATATAACAGTCACCCTTCCACTTGTCATAAAGTATTTACCTGCTGCGTTAAAACACAAGACTTCATTACTAAAAATGAATAAAGTGGAAAGTATTTTTATTTAGGAAAATCACACATAAGTCCCAACTAAAAATGAATAAAGTGGCGAGTATTTTTATTTAGGATAATCACACATAAGTCCCACATATGGATTCTAATTTGTAAAGAATCCCATGAAATGTACAAATAACCATGAAGTCCCATAGATTTCAACTGAAAATAATTTTTAGCACACATTTACTAAAATACTTTCCTTTAAAAATTAAAAATTATCTCCCCATGGTTGCTGGTGCTGGAGCTGCTGCCACCTCAGCAGCCAGTCACTGGAGCTGTCACCACCAGTTACCGGATCTCCGGTGCCGATGACCATGGGAGATAGTGTTTAATTTTTAAAGGAGGGCATTCAGTAAATGTACACTTCAAATTAATTACAATTAAAGTCCATGGGACTTTAGGATTATTTGTACATTTCATGGGACTCTTTGGAAGTTTGAATATTTGATCATCAAAATTTGTATAATAAAATTGCCATGAATAAAGCTCAATGATATGGGTCCTCTGTGATTTTTCGTTTTCATTTACATGAATTAGAATATTTGATCATCAAAATTTGTAAAATAAAATTGTCATGAATAAAGCTCAATCATATGAACATGCCAAGTTTTAAGGACCACAATAAGGTCTTTGCCAATAACAAAAAACGCATCCCACACAATGCAAGTAATACCATCTTGCAAGATAGCAAACAAAGTAATAATCAACAACAGATAAAGCATAGAACACAATCAAGTAATAAACAAGACCTTTTGGACAAAATCATGGTGTTCCTACCATATCATCGAGCTTTGTTGTCTCTTGTCCGGTCTTTTTTCCCAAAGGGGAGACGAGATAGCATCCATATCCTACAGAAGAGCCAAACAAGGCACACGCAAAATCAGGTTAAAATGATAAAGATCATTATAAAACTCAGCTAGCAATAATTCTGTGAATTTCATCACACTGCCATAAGCATAAAATTTATTTGGAATTTAGCCAATCTAATCACATACTCCCTCCAGTCCAAAATACAAGCCTCTTTTAAACAATAATCCCCATATCAATAAAATCCTTATTCTCATGAAAATATATATTGTTATCCCTTTTTACTCATAATTCCAATTTATGATGGGCGAGAAGGTTATAAATTCACATACACAAGAATCTAAATTAATAAATACATAGGGTAAAATGGAAAAAAAAAATAATTTACAAATACCAAGTTACTTATATTCTAGACCAAAATTAGGTAAGAGAAATATTTTGGACCCGAACGAGTAAATATATATATATATCTTCTTCTTCTTCTTCTTTTGCGTCGTATATAAAATAATCTAATACTATAGCCATTGCAGGGGAGGAACTTAAACATTCAAAGGTTCAAAGTTAGTTCTGGCCAAAAAAAAAAGGTTCAAGGTCAGACCACAACAATTCTTCATCATGACAAGGTGAACAGAATTAAAGCTCACACATGACAAATCATTGTAGTCATTGCAGGGGAGGAACTTAAACATTCAAAGGTTCAAAGTTAGTTCTGGCCAAAAACAAAAGGTTCAAGGTCAGACCACAACAACTCTTCATTATGACAAGGTGACCAGAACTCCTAAAATATAGCTCACATATGACAAATTATCTTTCAGCCAATGCTTGAAAAATTACTCTCATTAACTGATCTCTTTTAATTAAGAGTCAGCATTAGAGTATTGTAGTAGTTGACAAACACTTGGTCAAATTAGTAAAACAGTTAGGTTTCCATAGTAAGAAACTAAACAAATTTATAATGACTATCTCAAAGAGGCTCATGTAAGGTAATGTTTTCAATAAAACAATGCTTTATTCCCCCACATCAAAATTTTAAGTTTTCATGCCAAGCTTAAACAAGAATAGGCAACTTCTCAATGAGTTTTGACGTTACAAACCAGGATCTCTTAAATTTTTTTTTCCTCGAAAAAAACGAGGAAAATGTGGAAGCCCTTGTAGGAAAAAAAAAAATACTCCCAATAATTCCAAATAGTTCTTCCAGCTGGCATAAAAAATATACTCCCTCCGATCCCTATTACAGGGCACCTTCGACAAGGATTATTTGGCACGTAATATAAAGCATGTGGAGGGTTATTTATTATCATTTTCCAATTTTATTTCTGTTGTAAATTTAATTTTAAGACCTATTATATATTGTGTATCTCTCTCTTTCTATTTTTAACAGGGGTAAAGTTGAATTTTTTTTGCCCCTCCAGTTCAACACATATTTAATAAGTTAACAGTCATTTCTTGGTTTCAATGAAGTAGTTGAAAGCGCCTTATAATAAGGATTAGAGGGAGTACAACTTTAAAAAGAAAAGGTTTGCATATTAATTATAACAAACCAACCTTGAAAGAATTTGCTAGGAAGTCTGTTATTTGCTAGAAAGATTGCATCTTAATTATGTCATGCTATTCAGAAGCAGTATAAAAAGGGAGAGACTACTAATTAATGACACGGGAAGCTTAATGTTGATGAATAACCAATACTTCGGTGCATTTTAAATTATTATTGCATTAACGCGTAATTATTATTGTGAAGATTAAACTTCATTAATCACCAGATTGATGCCTTTTAAGTCGTTAGCCAAGTAGTTAAGCTTGAAAGTGTCATGTCTCTAGAGCAAAGAGATGAGTGTTGCAGAGCTTACAACAGTTTATCTGAGATATAAAATATTGGAAGCCGGCCCACTCTTACGCCTCTCCATTTGCTTTTTTCCAACAATATTTCTTGATCAACCTTGGACCCAGCTGCAGTTAAAACAAACTGAAAAACAAAAGCTACTGTCATTAATTCTTAATAATATAAAATCTGGAAAGGAAAATTAGAAATGCAATAAAAAAATTCAATGTAGGAAGAGAAGACTTTTTTTTCTTTTTTTTTTTTGGGAAGGAGGGAAGTCAAACATACCAGAGGAAAGAGAATAGCCATAATCCCATAACTGACAAGAGGCGAGAAAAAAAATATAGCAAAGACACAGGGGCTTCCTGGAAACAAATGAAACGAAACAGAGAATTTTTTTCACCATATTGCAATGCTATGTTACAATAAAGCAGAAAAGCATGGAAAGTGTTGAACTTGGGGATATTATTCCATTACTCCTTACAGTTTGTAAGTAGGTTGGTCGGTCCCTACAGTTTAAAAACTTTCAAACACATCCCTATCTTATAACGTACTTACAAAGCTAATCCCTAAATTCTAAACAATTAGCAATGGGGCCCTAAGAAAATGACATGGCATGACAACGTTGAAAAATTAGTCATGTGAACTCTTAAATGCAGAGACAACATATAGATACATATATAGATGCAAGTGAGTCAATAAGGTAGATTGAACACAAGTAGCACGTGCATTGGTTAGGAGGATACACACCTCAACATTGCAACTAAAGAAACCATGGAAGAGGCATTCGCATGGCAGCATAACTGCTCAACCTAAGAGAGTCATGTCATGTCATCATCTTTAGGGACTCCATTAATAACAGTTAAGAAGTTTAGGGATTAACCCAGCAACCCTGTTGTAATATAGGGATTCGTTTTAAAATTTTTAACGTATAAAGATCTGCTTTAAAAAACTGACATAAACTATGAGGACAAATAGCATAATTTTCCCCTTTAATTCCACCAAGGTCACAAGACATATGGATTGGCATTGCATTCTGTTCAATGTTCTATGCAGTTTAGTAAATCCCCGATCTTTGCTCCTTTTTCTCCTTTTTAACCACTCCAATCCCCTCCCAGTCACACATTATATCCTTTCAAAAGCAGCCCAACAATTTACTGATTACTGTCACCTCTTCAAAGATATTTGAAATCTAAGTAACCAAGTAAGCACAGTATAGGCATTCAAGACTCCTAAAAAAAAAAAATTTATTTCACATACATATCACTATTATTCACAAACTTCGAGAATATTAACTATTTAATGTACAGGTTGCATAAATTGTAAACATTCAAAAACTGACGAGTAGCAACACACTTCAATATCTTCACCTTGTCTCTAACAGTACCAGCATTTTACAAAGACTGGCTCCGGTTTTACTTCCTAGTAGTGAATATATAGACAATTTGAAAATTTCTTTCCTAAAGCCATAATTATGATTTAATCCATCATCTCTTGAGAAACTGATTGATTTTTCTCTAGTTACCCAAACAGGCATACCCAATAAAGTGAAAATGTAAACAAACTTGAAGATAATTCCCAAATGAAAAAATTATATTACCAAAACCAGAAAAAAATGCCCAGGAGGACTGAAAATAGTCCAGCCTTTTGTCCAAAGCCACTTCATTAAAACTCCATTTATACCTGATGCAAAAGAAAATCTCATTTAGCAAAAGCTTACAAAAAAGGAGAACATAAATAATTTTATACACAACAACAGAGAGAAGACATCTAGAAAAGATGTTTTATAGAGAACATACTCGAAGCAGTAATATGCATACAGCCAGGAAAGAAGTAAAAAATTGAGCACCTTCCCTATAAGAGGTATGAATCCTGTAGCATAGACCTGCATATAAAACAAGAAATTGCTAATTATGCAAACAGAAAAACTATAACAAGGCGACACCAAGTTGATTGCATACTGACACTGAGCACATAACTTTCTTATCAATATTCAAATAAGAATTAAAAAAAAAAGTCAACTCATTTAAAGATACTCAGCACACTTGGAAAATCAAATACAAAAATATGTGTGGGTGTAATGATAATAATTATGTCACCTTGAGGAAGAATACACTCAAAAGGAGTATTGAATAGACCTGCTCTCCAGCCCCAATGATGACCCTGGATTAAGAAAATACAGTAGAGCTCAACCATTCAATGCATGATTTAAACAGAAAGAATTTCCATCACTTATAAGTAAAAACTGAAAACACACTTTAATACAGTATTAAGGTTCCAGGATTCTATACTTACCCTCCCAAACCAGAAAGCCTTTTTGTGTTAGAAGAATTTGCTTTCTCTGATGATTTAGTGTGGCTTGAGCTTTCCTCTACGGTAGACTTGGATCTACCCACTGCATCATACCCATACTTGGCAATGTCATTGTACCTAAAAGCAAAACATTCTTTAAGTATCTGGGTTGACTTGATCAACTCTTGAAATAGTCAAACTGAATTTTGAAGAATTTAAATTCTTGGTCCTGCCATCATTCTAGCATTGAAACATTTATTCTTGCTATTCAAATTTTTTCAAGCACCTAGTCTGAACTGTGACAGAAGATCTACTTCTCAAGTTCTAATTTCAAATGGAAGGATAGTAAAGTATAAGGCATCTTCATTAAAGTTGGACCACGTCACAGAAGTTAAAGACATTCTTTGTTATTAATTAGCGGTTTTAGAAGGAGAAGAAACAAAAAGTATCACGGAAATGGAAATGTGTGCTGTTAGCTGCAGTTTGATGTCAATGACTGAAGCTGAGAGAGTTTCCAAGGATTGCTTCAATGTACAACAAAAATTGAGTTGAGAGTTAAGGATTGTATATTAATGTCAAAGGGTATTGGAGGGTTTTAATTGATTAGTGGTATTCTACCTATTCTGTTTATATCTTCTTCCTAACTGCACTTTTCTGCTCAGTTTATCAAAATTCAATTCCTTATTTATAGAGAAAAACACAAGTACCAAATAACTTGACAACTAGCAACAGCAAACCAGAACAAAAGATGCAAGAGGATGTAAGCTTCGAAGGATAATATTACCAGATGGCGCTTAAAACTATGCTGAACACATATAACGGGTAAAACCAAAAGACCTGTAGGGAACAATCACATGCAGGTTAACATGAGATCCAATATTCAGAAAATCACAGCTTCAAATAAATATAGACAGGCATCTTGAACGTTTCATCAATAACACTCAAGAAGCCTCTTGGTAAGTATACAGCTAGCTTGAAATGATCAAAAAAACAAATTTTGCATAAACACACAAGTAACAAAGAAAATCTAGCTAAATAACACAAAATTCCTTTAAAGATGCCACAAGGCTTGTATTTTTCAAGGAAAAAAAATGTGAACATCAGTGTCTGATGATTGTAACTACATACTTACATAAAAGAAATGAATGAGTCCAAGACGCAAGAAGGAATAAAATTTCAAAGTGCCACCAAAGTTGCACAGTTTATGAGAACCAAATTGCGAGCATCGATCAGGTAATATCCACTGCAATGTCGGGATGACAACTGAGTTCAGGATGGATAAACTGTACAGAGATTTGAAGATGTTCAAATTATTCAATAGAATAATAGACAAGACTATATAATCCACTAACACCTAAAGCATGTAGGCGTCAACCAACAAGTGATAGCCAGGAAAAAAGTATTGTATAACAGAATATCATTACAACAACAACAACAACAACAACAACAACAACAATAAGAAGCCTTTATCCCACTAGGTGGGGTCGGAACATTATAACATCTATTGTCCATGTTCATAATAGATTCAACAAAGTTTTACGTTGGCTGTTGATGGCCTAACACAACCCTCCTCCTTTACCCGGGCTTGGGACCGGATATAAATATAGGCCTAACAGAATATCATTAATAGTAAAAATTTAAGTTCATCTATTTACTAGTCATAACAATTCCTCATATTAATTGACACACACACAAAACACCTGTCATGCTTTTTTAATCATAAAATTTAAAACCTCTCTATTCCCACAATTATCATTGTTTCCCGTCTCATGACTACTGTTCACTCACTGAGAGGAAAGAAAGAGAATGTCAAGAAGGAACAGCACCAAATGTAATATGGAGGTAGATGGATAGAAACTTCTTCCAAACACAAGAATCTACCTGCCTCTTACAATAAACACACTTGAAGTTGCAAGGAAAATATCAACTCGAGACAAGAGAAATCCTCATACAGTCAGTTATCTCAACAACAATTAGTCAATGACCACAAATCACTTAGTTATCCAATGAATACAATTATATAGAGATAAACTGATTCCTTGGAAGCTCCAGCAAAGTTCAAACTGTTATAATATAAAGTATATGCATAATTAGCAGCTTCAATATATCACTTATCATGTAAATTAGACTTTCATCTAATTTAACATGGAACAGAGGAGGAACATAACCATCCTAAAACAAATTGACTCACCATCTTTTTACTACAATGCTTAGCACCTCAACTACTCTAATTTAATGAACATTAGCATTGCAAAAGGCAAAATACCACTTGCAACATGAATGACAGTAGTTTTTTGCTGATAATGTAAAAGTTCAATTCTTGATAGTTAACCGGAATAACATCTTCAGATTTATCACTAACAGATTAACTGGAACTAAATTTGAATATGCATTGTGAAAACTGAAAATATGCATTTAGTCACATTGTTGGTCGAGGCAAAGAGAAATTACCTTCCTAAGAAAATAAAACCATTTAAGAGAAAGCACTGCCCGGTTCGCACCAAAAGCTTTCTAGACCTGTGTCAGAAATTAAGAAGTAAAGCAGAAATCAAATAAACATTATCCGATCAGAGCTCTGTTTGATAGTAGAGAAAGCAAAGAAAAGAAATAACCCAACTGTATAATGACATGGGCTCTACAGCATAAATCAAATTGAATAGATCACAGAAACACGCAACTGACAAAACAAACTTTCCAACCCAGATTAATGTAGAATACAAAATAATGAAAATTGTTTTAATTTTTACTCTGGGTTTCTGGGAAACAAAACAGAAAGTAGAGGGAAAGCCGAGACAGAATAATGCAAAAGAGGACAGATGAGAAAGGGAAGGACCTGAAGCAGAGAATTACAACGCGATGAAGACAACAAGCCTCCTTGAAACCCTCGAGCCATTGAAGAGCCGCTAGCTTAAGTTTCGCGGTCGTTGTACTTACTAGCGACTCTGTGGCTTCCATGGATGATCGAGAGAGAGAGAGAGAGAGAGAGAGAGAGCCTCTTCGCAAATATTCTTTCTTCTGTTTATGCATCAAGTTGCGAACTCATGAACAAGTTTTCCTGAAAAACTATAAAAGCTCGGAAGAAAAAAAGTTACAGGACTGAGAAGATAACTAATAATGAATGATATGCGACAACCTTTGACTTCACGAATCGGAGTTATACACAAGCTTGTATAAACATTAAACAAATATTTCCACTTCACTTCATTAATTAAAATGTCATACAATATTCACATCCGCAAATTTAAAAAGTAAAAATTATAATATCCAATGTTAAAAAAATTGATTATTAAACCTGTTGAAAAACACAGCTTTATAGTTTAATAGTAAAAAAAAATAATAAAATCTCAAATATATAAATGATAATTTAATCTTTTAAAATATCATAATTTTTTTAAAATCTTTAATTATCTTTTTATCATTAATGAATTTATATAAATTATTAAATTACCCTTGTTGAAAATAAATAATTTATAAATTTTTTTTAAATATTCACAACTTTTTTTCTTAGATTCACAATAATGTAACAGCAAATAATAAAAAATTTAATATGTAAAGTTATAATTTACTGTTACATTATTACAAATATAAGAAAAAAAATTATAAATATTTAAATAAAATTTATGAATTATTTATTTTTAACAAAGATAATTTAATAATTTATATAAATTTATTACTGACAGAAAGGTCTCTAAAAATTGTAAGGGAATTATGGCATTTTAAAAAATTAAATTATCATTTATATATTTTGGATGAATTTTATTATCATTTTCCCTTTAATAGTTGCACCATTTTTTTCCAAAAAATCATATATATAATAATAAATTAATATATTTTTAAATACTATACGTTTAAAATAAAAAGAAATAACTATATAATATAAAAATGCATTTTTAAATTTTAAAAATTACAAAATAAAAAAACAATATCCATCAATATTCCACCATTCTAATTCAATATATATATATACACTTATTTCATAATTTATAATTTATAACTTTAAAATATATACATATTTATTGTATATTTGTTCTTTATTGTTTTATCCATCAATACTTAAATATGCATACAAGTCACTTAAGGTAAGTTCAGCTCATAAAGGTGGGATGGAATGTGGATAGAGATCAAGGATTTAAATTCTCCTAATATATTAAAAAATTATTAAGTACATTGAATTCAATTCAGATCCCAAAAAGAGGAGGCTATGGAACTGAACTTAAAAGGGAGGATTTTAGAAGATTTAGCCTTGGTTACTTTGGAGAAATTTCTCTCTTTTTCTTTCCCTTTTCATGTTGGTTCCATGTCCATGCATTGGCATGTGACTTGGCATTTCCGAGATTCGACTTTTAAAACATTGATTTCAAGACAGTAATAAATAGGAGTTTAATATTGGCAGAAGTTAAGGCAAAAAATGCGAGTGCCATTACATGCCATATTATCTTCATGGGGTCTGAATGAAATATATTTGTCGCTTACAAATATGCTAATAACTCACTAAAAGGGCGAAAAAAGTCTATCACACTCGAACCTGGGGCGGAGATATTTGGGTTAGAAAAAAAAAAAAAATCTCATGCTCAATAATCTAGCCGAGGTTCCCAGCTATACCATTCTCCTAAGTTGTCCCTCAATTTTGAGAAGTTAGCAAGCCATGTCTGCACAGTATCCGGTTCAAGTATTTCTCAAGCGAACTTCAAAAATCATACTTGGTTCTTCCACTTGCCAGAATGAAGCATAACATGTCTGCAGTAATGGGAGAGGATTTATAGAAGTTCCAAGATTCAAGCATGAGGCGTTTTCTTGATCCTTTAAAGTGTACAACCTGCATTATAAAATTAATTCCGATACACAAGAATTTTAGTTCAATAATGCTTGCTTGTACTTTAGTCCCTTTGATTTCAGTAAAAGTGCTCCCAACTCAATCCTTCTAGTTTTAAGCAGTGCATATACACATTAAGCTTGATAGAACAATCCGAAATTAATCGGAATCACAGATTGTTAACTTTTCTCCTTCATTTGGATAGGGAGAAAAATAGGGAGGAAGAAAAAATAGGAGGGAAAACTCTTAGAAATAATAAAAAAATTTACTATTTTTGACAATTTTTCTTCCTAGTTTTCTCTTCCCACTTTTCCCTCCATCCAAACCAAACCTCAGAAAACTTCACATCTTCCATAAAATATAAAGAATGCAAATGCACCACTTAAACCAAAGGGAGTGATTGCAACTTATATTTTTCATTTGAACTAAAATGCATCTTTAGCATAACCACAAAGACTAGAAACGAAATTTTAAAAAAAAAAAATCAAGCTTCCAGTGAAAGATCTATTACAGGCTGCAAGGTATATAATACCTTAACATCCAAGGGCATGCCATGAAATTGACCAGCACCCTCAGGTGGCGTCCAGTTGTATATGGCACAAGGTAAGAACAATACCGATGTACCACCAATGTCTTCAGTGAAAGGCAGCGCCTTTGAAAACCTGCTGGAATCAAAACAAGGATGGGACTTTACAACCCAAGCAAGAGCTAATTGATCACCCAGCATCCGGGAAGCTTTCATGAATTTTGAGCTGTAAATTTTCAAAACCTCTTGTAGGAAAAGCTTTGCCCTGCGTTTTCCCCAAATTGTTGAAGTCAAGGATATTATAAAAATAAGGCAACTACTCAGACTATAAAATCTTTATTGTTCTTTTCCCTATTGTTTCAGATGATATATATGCACTTCAAATAAAAATCCAGTTGGATCAATTTACGCACCTCAAAATTGCATCAGCGGTACCCCTCACTGCAATGAATCCTGAATTCAAAGGTTGAGCCTTATTGTTCCTAAAGGTCAAAGCCAGATGAAAATTTTCATGGTCATGGAAAACATGTCCTAAATCATCAACCACTGCTATATCAGAATCAGTGAAGATATAGTGTGTAACATCCCCTGGCCTCTGAGAAAGCTCCTGAAGCTTTGTTTCTAAGAAGCTCTGCAAAACCCCAAAAAAAAAAAAAACAAAGAAAGAAAGAATGAAAAGAAAAAAAAAGAAAGAAAAATGTTATTCGTTTAAAAAATATGAATATTTTCATTTTTCTAGTAAATACACAAAGTAAGATAAAAGAGCACAACCTTAAATAGGATCAGATATATATTGAAATTGACTCTGTTTTATCATTTATTGACAAATAGGATGAATTCTCCTCTTTGGGCAGTAGTATGTACAGAAAAGAAGTAAAAAAGCCACAGAAGTAAGAAAGGGATTGCTCCCTTGCATTTGAGAGGCTAGTTTCTCCTCAATTTCAAAACCTTCCCAGACTCAGATTCACTCACCGCACCTTATATATTTCCCACAGCTTCTCTCACATTTTCTCTCCTCAGCTACCTGGTCCTAACTAGAGTTAGTTATGCTACCCCTTAATTCTCTGTTTGTCCCAGAGGATCAATCTCACCAAATTTATAGTTTTGTTCCCATCAATGGCAAAGTGAAAGAATCGCAAACTATCATAACCAAGAGAAGCCTTCAACCAGTTGAACCACTAGAATTATTATCATGAAACTATTGATTGTGCCAATAAATTATCATACAAAATGGAGGGGAAATGAAGGAAAGATATTGAACGGCATGAAAAGCAACAATTTAGACCTCCAGAAATGCTCTATCTACCATGAATGCAACATGATCTTACAATGTAAGACCTGATCCTTTGAAGCATCAACTTGTCCCGTGAATATTCACCTTGAATAGGATAAAGAAAGACCCTATTTTTGTGCAACGAAAAGTCAGATGCTGGGTCAGTAAGAATGATCACACTGCTCCGGGGCATTGTCACCTGCAAATTTCACACGTATCAAACATTGAATGGAGTCTATAGGTATCATCAGCATTTATAAAAACTCAACCAAATTATCAAATGAAAATGTCTGCTACAGAATGTAGAGACAATATATTTAATCCAGTTACATAATTTAAGCTTTAATTTGAGTAGATTACCAAAAAAAAAAAAAGGTTATCAAGCCTGAAATGAAGTTACTTAATTGATACGCAGACACAATTGAAGGATCTTGCATGCATCATATATTCCAGATTATGAGAGAATATCCTCCCAGGTGCCCACATGCACAAGGCTGAACCCCTAAAAAAATTGATACCATTCACATAGTCATGAGACCCAAAAAGAAAGCGAGAGATTGAAAAACCAATGAATGAAAAGATCATGCTAAAGCTCTAGTTTCAGCATGCATAAGCTGTTTGACATTCTCTAATGACAATAACGGAAAGGTGGAGGACAAATGTTCAATGACTAACCGCAAAATCGCCAACAAAAGAAAAGTAAATGAGCTATGGGACTCCCGGCTTTTGAGAGGCCAGGTGCTCTCCCACTATCGAAAAGCTTGCTGGTTTCTTCCAACAATCCCTTCGGTCTTGCCAAAATTCCACATAGGAAGACCCACATTCTCTCCTCCACTTACATGCCTCATGCAACATAACTCAAGCAAAAAGCCAGAACAAAGACCCAAAAGATTAAAAAATCAGGGCCTATAAGCCCATTAGTCAAATCACGCCACATAACATCCTTGCATTCAATTGCCAGTTCTGACATGACCATTGTCTCTGTTTCTACATCGTGGGCATTAACATGCAAGCCAGTTAGCACAAATATTGGCTTCTCTAATCATATGTTCATTAGTAACACCCGAATCCACATAAGAAGTCTTCTTATATCTTTGGCTATGCTGAAAGCAAGGTGGTTTCTGCTGTGCACTTTCAAGGTATTACTAAGAGCTTCCATAGAATCAAAAAATACCCTTATTTTCTTGTATCCTAGATCCCCACACAAGCTCAAACCTTCCCAAATGCTCATCACCTCAACACTACTAGTAGAGTAAATCCCGATTTCTTCATGAACCCACATCTCCAATTGCCATTCTTGTCACGTATTAATTCTCCACAAGCAGCTTTATTAACTTGACCGGAGAATCATTGGCATCCAATCTAACCCATCGTGGATCCAGACTCCTCCAACTTGTTCGTCCATCAACATGATGCGGTTAAAGGGCTATATCCCTCTCCCGGTTAGTACCAAGCACTTACATCATTGACCTACCCCCAGCCTCACTTTTTAGGTCTTCATTTATTTTCTTCTTCAAATAAACACTTCCTCCCTAGTAAAGGCCCATCAAATGTACTGCATACTTCTTTGTAAAAGTGAAAAGAAAAAGAACCTAGTGGTCTATCCTCTCTTTGCTAATAGTGAAAGCAATTAACTTACTTTGATTGTTATCAAAGGCAATTTGTATGCTTCCAAAGTTAAGTTTAGTTTGAATTCCCCAGGCCATGCTCCAGTATCTATAACATAATAGTAGCCAACAAATGACTAAGTAGTAAAACATAAGAGTGCACATGGCAAAATAAGTAAGGCTTACGAAGGAAATACTATGCAAGACAAAGACGTTACTAATTCCAGTAAGTAAACACTGAAAGTATGAAACCTGGGCATTAACTGGTCCAGAAAGCATTTAATTTTCCACGTAACACATAAGACATTACAGAAACAACATACAACAGATAAGGGAATAAGCTTCTGGTAATATGGCAATAACTTTCACAAATTTTACTTAATAAATACCTGAATGAAGTTAATGAAGACATCTAATACAGCCATTGACCTCTGCACCTTATTATATGAAGAACCCCCAATAACTGTGTTTGATGATCTATCATCTACGTTGCTAGCAGAAGAATTGTAAACAGTAAAGACAGTGACAAATGCAATGTTGTCCTCGACAAGTGACACATTATGAGAAGAGTGAGTCTTGTTGAGAGCTTTTGTTCCTGTGCATTGTTTCAAAAAGGATTAAAGAAGAAGGCAAAAAGTGTCAAAAAAGATGAAATACATTACAAGAATCATCATTTTATATAAAATTAAACAACTGGAACTGTACTTGTGCTATCACATGGGATTATGCGCAATTTTTTAATAATTTAGCATCTCATGCAGTATTGCACAGGCCAATGCAGGTTAATTTAAATAATGAGTTATACAAATGTCAAACGAAAAACATCATGAAAATATAATAACTTCATCAGTGACAGATCTAGAGTAAACAGAACACAACTTATTGGATATAATCATGAAATGAAATCTCTCCTAAATTATATACTTTTCAAATATCAGAAGGCGACTCTGAAATTTAGGACGTGTAAATAATAAAAAAAAACTTAATTCTACAAAATGCTATAAAATTTGACATATAAATAATAACACAAGAAATAGTGATGTTTTCATAAACCAAACAACTCAAATAAGCAGTCAATAAGTGTCAATGCCTGTTAATAATATTTACAAACTAATATTGAAGTATGTATAAGGGAATTGAGTATATCTCAAGATGTCACGAGCACATTTATAATGAATAACAATAAATGTGCAAAAGTAACAATGATTATGAAGTGTCAAGGAAAGAAGCCTTATTCAACAGGATAAAATGTTCCTAGATAACTCGATAATAATATGGCTTTGATTAAGAGGTACCAAAGCACAAGGTCCTGAATTCAAATTACTATTATATAAGCTGTGACTACTAAACAACTGAAAATAGGTTAAAACCTTTTCTCCACCATACATTAAAAATTACTATTTTATAAAAAGAATTGAAGAACCTTGGCATTGTAAACGATTAGGCAAGCCTTGACCAGCAGCAGAACCAAGAACCAGATGATCAAATTTCTTTTGAAGTGTCTTCTGGCGTTCCTGCACACTTGAATTTTGGTGCAACTCCATGACTGATACAATGGGAATGAAGTTTGCAAGTAAGGCCCCCCTTTTAATCAAACAGCAAGATGTTTTTGACAAATAAAAGTGAAGAAGGAATTACCCACCAGATAACAGATGGGGAAGAAAGAAAATAAGAGGAAGACCAAACAGAAAACAACGCCATCCACTGCATATTTTCATTTTCATCCATGCTATGTTCGCATCTGCAGCTGAATGAAGATACAAATAAGTAGAAGTAACAAATAACTGGATCTTGCACTTTTGTTCAATTGAATAAAAGAAATGAACTTGGCAAAATAACACTCAAGTTTGATATCATACCAACACGAAGAAAAAGTAAATTGCACGTAGTTTATCCCTCGAACATCACAAATTTTTTTTTTTTTTGCAAGCTCAACCCGTCACATTAAAGATGGACAACAATCATTAATAAATAAAAGTAAATAACATAAAATTTAAACATACTTTCTCCAATATGTGCTAACATTGAGTGTTAGACCTATACAGATAAATCTACAGAAGAATCACTCTTTCTGAATTATCTTTTATATCATGTGTGCTAGGGAGGGAATTTATTCTTCCTAAACATTCTGAAAAGGACTTCCATTCATTTGTTGTTTTATCATCTATATAGCAGATTAAAAACAGGGGAGAATAATTATTCAGTTTTTTTATGACCATAAAAAAGATAGAAAAGAATGGTTGAAATATATGGAAAATGATAGTATATAAAACATAAATCCATAATTATGTAAGTTCCATGGTAACGTTTCAAATTGTAATATCTCAAACAGAAGCCAGAAACATCATAATTACATTCCAGATGGCTCTTAATAGAATAGAATGAGGAAACGTGCTTTTGGAATAGGTCATGAACTATCCAAAGTAGAATAATAAATCAGCCTATAAGATGGTCCAGCTCCTGATATACCACAAGAGAAGCACTGGCATCCATTTCCCTGCACTCATATTGCAAGCTCTTAACATAGCATGTAGCAAGTTGCCTTAGATGTTAAGTGCAAGTCATCATCAAATGTACTTTTCCAAAGGATCAAGAAATCAGCTGTAAATGAGGATGCCACAGCAATTGGTAACAGAAGTGCTAAAAACATTTCTTTTATAGCAGCGAAGTGGCAACTAATTCAGCTTCCACGCACCTCAATTAATCCACCTCCTTGTCTCATTCAAAGGCAAGCCATCCATGCCGAGACTAAAGGATTTGCAAGGAAATTCATTGTGGCCTGGTCTAAAGAAATTAGCAAAGCTAGAATTCAAAACCTATAGCAATCCACCTAACCACATATTACACACCAAAATAAAGTCAATCACTTGGGAATGTGGAATTGCAAACGAACTTGGAGTTGAAGGGAGTAACCCTCCAGTTCTGACAGTAGGAAATTACTACATTGTTAACTTCGATCAACATCTCAGTAATATCACAAGAAGTCCATATCTTTATTTTGAAAACCATGCCCAACTGTCAATTTAATTAGTTGAACTGGAATCTTGTCCAGGCTCCATCCCTAAGTTTTAACTTCTTGACTATCCTTCAACTTAGCAGGTTTAAGGCGATTCTCAACTTTTGTCATTAGGTGAATGTACCAATATCTCGTATTCATTAATGGATGTTTTTCAACCAAAAAATCCTTTCTATAAGCCTCCCTAAGCACCACAGTCTGAGTCTTAATCTTATTAGAAATGTAAAATATTCCAGGGTGATGAACCAAAGCCTTCCTAAACCTTTCCTCCAACCCCAAACAGCCTCCTAAGCACAGAAAATTTTTTCTCTCTGTCTTCTTAGATACAAGAAGCCAAAGTAATTCATGCAAAATCGCCACTACCCACTTCTCAGCCTGGTCACTATTTGGCTCAAGATGAAATGAATTTTCATAAGGAGAAATATAAGGCAATGATTGCCACTCCTCAACCCAAGTCTTCACCCTCTTCTCCAAATCAAAACCCTTTGGCAAACACATTGGGAACGCAATATCATGCCTTCTTTTTCCCCCACCATAATATGAGCTCATTGCCCTCCTCTCCAACTCAGAAACAGCAAGCTCCTTTCTCCAGGAAACAATCTCCAAAGCAAGCACCTCTTTCCCTGTCAACGGATCTTCAACTTCACAAATGTCAAAGTAATCAGGGTAATCAGCCAAAAGTGCTGTTATGTAATCATGAGGAAGACCTAGATCCCACTTGAACTTGTCAATTACATAAATGGGCAATCTTGAAATTCCAGCAAGCATTAGAAGCCTTGTGAGCCTCTTAACAATATCTTGGCGGATGGTTACAGAGCTGTGAATGGCCAATTCTTCTTTGTGGAGGGCTAAGGCTGGAGAAGTAAGCTTGACATGGGGAAGTAGTCCGGGTCTGGGTTGGAATTGTATGAAGATTGAATGGTATTTATCAATGAATTTGGCTGTTGTGGTGGGAAGATTGAGCGGGGATTTAAGCAGAGAAATAGTGGAGAGGGGAAGACATTCGGAAGGAGATGAAATAATATGGTTCATAAGGAAAATTGCCTGTTTGAGATTCTTCTCTTTCTCCACCACAGAGTCAAGATATGGGTCTCGGACCCATTTGACTTTTGCATTCACAAAAGTTCGGAAGAAGTTGAGCTGGTATGGAAGTTTGGAGGACAAAGCCATGAATCACCAGCTCACTGCCAGGAAGTTAGAATGAAAGTTAACATATTTAATAAGGAAAAAAATTTCCATACATCAAAATAACACTTTTGTACACAAAATAAAATTGTAGAGTATCATATTGCATAATATCTCCTTGTCTAACTACTCCTTGCTATGGAGGACAGCGTTACTTTGTCTCCATTTTGATGAGGGAATTCAGATGCAAGACAATATAATTATATAGATGGAGTAAATGTTTTGTAAAATTAGAAAACCAAAGTGATAAAGCTAAAATACTAATTCAAGAACAAAATTTTATGTTAAAAATATATGATATGGAATTAAAAACATTCATAAATTTCCTTAATAATAATACAAACAAAAGACCAAAGTTAAGGCAGCCATAGGCGGACCTATATTACATAATCATTGAAATATGCATAGTTGATATATTAACCTTTTAATTTTTGTTCCAGATACTTTGACACAACTCAAGCCATGTCATTTATAAGATCTTACATTACAAATGCCTTGAGAATTTTCTAAATTTATGGCAATGTAAAGAGATTAATAAACAGAATGCCAATACACAACAAATCCAACATTGCAAAACAACACAATCCAAAGCATACAAGTCGCTAGTAATCAAAATGAAGAGGGAAGAAGTATAATACCCAATTCACACCATTCAAGCAAAAACTAGTGGAAAAAAAAAAAGGAATTAAATTCAATATGTGAACATTCCCAAATTCGAAAGCGTCAATATTCAAACGATTGCACGACCAGATTCAAAGCCAGGTTAAAATGAAAATTTTAAAACAAAGCAAGAGCAACCACGCCAGGAACAGATGACACGGGGAACAAATTAAAGATTCAAAGCCCGATTGAACAAATCAATCTCACCGGGTTTTGGGAAAGCCATAGAGTTCGAAACCTTCTTCACTACTTGCATCAGAACAACCACGCAGGGCCGACAACGGTGGACGGCGTCCAACGGATTGTGGAATGCTAGCTCGTCGACGACGAAAAAAGAGATCCGCTGCTCCTTAGTACTTGCTACGACATTGCGCTGTGATGGCCTGGTGGGGTTACAATTAATTTTAAGAAGAATTAGGCAATGGTCGTCAAGTAATTACTCGAGACTCCAGTAATAAAATTAGAGTAAACTATAGTCACATTTCCTCTATTTTGATATCATTAAAAATTTTAAAATACTTAATTTTAGTTCAATTTTTAATATCATAAAAAAATTTAAAATACTTAATTTTTTTATTAGTAATTAATTTGTCTTTATAATCTAATTGTACGTTTCCCTCTTTCAATTTTAAAAACTTTAAATAATTAAATGTGCGGCCAGTTAAATAAATAATTTAAAACTTTATTTTAAAATTAATAAAATTTTAAAAAAATAAACATAAATCATATTAAATCCTTATTTTATTTCTCGCCCAAAAATCCTTATTTCAATATTTTTTTAATTGTGTATTTAAAATATTAATTTAACCGATTTATGTATTTAATGTTTTTTAAAATACTAAATAAATGCATTTAAAAAATTAAAATATAAAATAAAAATTAAAAAAGTAAAAAAAAACATATGCATTAATATTTTTGGTAATTTAAATAATTTTTAAATAATATTTATATTTAAAAGGGGTATTTTAGTGTAACATATAAAAATTAACTGTCAATAGATTGATGAATGAAAATAAAATCATAAAAATATAGCAGGTATTTGTGTTTTGTAATTATTTATATAAAAAATACTAGTATAAGCTTCAAAAATATATGAAAAGGGACACATATGTAGTTAAAATAAATAAATAAATAATCAAAATATTTTAAAAAGAATGATAATAAAGTCCTAAAAAGATGAATTAATTATATTTAAATTCTTAAAAAATTTATATAAAATAAATTATAAATATGAATTCAGACAATTATAAATAAAAATATAAATTGTAAGCTAATTATTATATTTACAATTTAAATATCATATTTATAATTAAAATTTTGAAATTAGCAACTCTTTAAATTAATATTTACAAATAAGTTTTTAAAAAATTATTAAAAATTTCACTGTCGTTAATTTTTATTATTTAAAATTTAACTGTCATTCTGTAACATCCCAATTTAAATTTTAATAGTTAATTTGGGTTAATAGAAATTTTAAAAAAAATATTTAGAGTTAAGCAAATTAATAGGAGATGATTATTAAATCTAACTTAGGATATAATTTTAAATTAAAAAAATTAATTAATAAAAAAATATTAAATTATTATTATTATTATTATTATTATTATTAAAAGATATAAAAAAAAGAGAGAGAAGAAGAAGAAGAAGTGGCTGTGCTTTCGGCGCTCTCCAGGCAATCGTAACATATATAATAATAAAAAAAATAAGAAAAGAAAGAAGGAATATTAAAAAAATTAAAAAAATGAAATGACAAAAGGGAGGCAGACGTTTACGTGTGTGCATTGAAGAAAACAAAAGAAAGAGAGTAAAGGCTGTGGGACCCATGCTTGTTTTAAAAAAAAACACTTTGCCTTATTTCATCTATTTCTCTTCCTTCTTTCTTCATCTGCGTCTGGTGCGAACAGAGAGCGAGCAAGAGAACACGAATGACGCTGCGGCGATAGGAGCTGATTCAGAAGGCGATGCTTCATAATGGAATACTTCAAATGAGATTTTAAGTATTCTAAGATTAGGTAAGTGTTCTAAACATTTTTCTTAGTTGTTTTTCCCTTTGAGCTGCAGATTTTAAGATTTTGAAAAATCTAGAGTTTGAAAGAGGGATGAATTTTTGGTGAGAAAATCTGGTTGTTGAGATTGTTGATAGTGTAATAAATATTCTAGAATATTATTTTGTTGATAGAATTGGAATTTGAGGCATTTGAGTTTATCTCTAGATCCCTATGGGTAAATTTTTGGTTAAATCTGAAAATATAAATTGATTTGTTGATATTTAGATGATTATTTGAGATGAGAAATAAATTATTATGACTATAGAATAATGATTTTAGGCTTGAAATTAAGTTTCCAATTTTTGGATATTTTTATGTGCGAATTTTTGGAATAAAAAGAGAAATTTTGATATTAAAAAATTATTTGAATGAAATTATTGTGAAGGAGACTATTGAACCAAGTAGATAGGTTCAAATACATAAAATTAAATTTTAGAATTTAAGAGACTAAGACTAATTTCTTAAAAAAATAAATAAATATAAAATAAAATAAATACTTAGGTGTTAGAGTATGAGTGAAAATTGTGTTAATAATATTATTGACACATTGAGATATGATCAATTGTAGATTAATTTTCTTTTGACATCATTCAAGCTTTGAAAAGCTTTGGAAGTGTTGTAACTTGAGGGGTAACCTTTGACCTCTCAAAGGTTGAGGTAACCGGGGGAAATCTATTTTATGCATTTGTATGTTAATTAATTAATTATGTTGGTGAAACAAAAGAATATATATATATATATATATATATCTAAATTTAAAATAGTTGTTTGTAATGCATGTGGCTTTGTTGAGACCTTATGATTTATGACCAAGTTAATTGTGACTTGTAAGTAATGAGATTGATGGCTGATGATTATGTGTATACTCTTGGTTATAAGTTGTGGATTATGCACAGTGATGAAAGTCGATGAGCATGTGGGATAATTTTGAAATATATATATGAGTTTTTGAAATGCATTTTCTCATGAGCATGATCATATGACGGGCGTTCGCCTTGGTGAAGGAGTTAGCAGTTATGCAAAATCCATATAGTACTTGGCTATTAACTAATAATCCTAGATGTTATAGCCGCTACTTACCTTGTAAAGTACTGTAGCATTGTTCCTATTAAGGGATTTGACCCTACTGGCCTACCTGAAGTTTTGGATAGAGCTAGTTTTGGGTATGACACCCCATAGTGTATGATTTGGGGGAAACCGTGTTCATAAGTGAGTAAGGTAACCTTGGCCCGGTAGCCCCTCATGATATGATTAAGGCCTTGGGGTAGTCTCACCACATGGACGATCCCTTTTGGTTGTTGACCCACGAATTTCATGTCAGAGAAAATAAGGGGGATATAAGGAAGAGATCGATCATGCATATTATTATTATTATGCCATTTGAGTGATTGATGGCTATGTTGAGAATATGATTGTAATTGTAGAAATGAGAACATGTAGTAATTATGCGAATAATGTATATGTGGTTATTTGTATAAATTTTGTACTTGACTTTATTCTTGAAATTATTCACATGAGTTAAATATTAATGTGATTAACATGTTATTAATGTGATTGTTTGAATGGTCACATTAATTAATTTATTGGCCACTTGCAATCATGATTAATTATCATGCATTTGTATAACTTAAATGTATCTTGGTTATTGAGTGGTTGTACTCATCCCTCTCTTTTAACATATTACAGGAGCTAGCTCATCTGAGAATAATAGAGAAAAGGAGCATTAGGCCAAGTGATAATAATCACTTTTGTAGGCCTCTCTCCTCTTATGTTAATATATGTATTTAGTTTATGATATTGCCAATTAGGATAATATATTCTTAATACACTTACACTATGGGTTTTGTGTTGGATAGAAAGACATTTTGGGCCCTTGAGAATGTGTTTTGATGTTTGTATTATAGTAATGGGCCAAAATATTTGTGCAAGTAAAAATAGTTATTATCATGCTTTCGCGTATGTTTAATTAAATGATATGAATTTTGAAAATATTTTAAAGACTTGAGATCTCTTTGTATTAAATAGTTTGTAAAAAAAATACATGTTAAGAATTTATTTAGGTTAATCTTGTAATGAATAATCCATTTGGATTAATTCTTGATTAACCATGATTAGTGTGATAATTAAGTCCTAATTTAGGACGTCCTTTACACATTCTCCTAATATTTTTTGAAACTTAATTACTCTTTGTATGTGTTTTGAAATTATACTATAACTAAAAACTAAAACTAAATTTATTTGCATAGCAGTATATAGTATTCTAAATTTTTTCAGAAACAGTGTAATTTTATTCCTATTATTTAAAAAGCTAAGTTCAACCAATAATTGAATTATAAAATTTAAAAAGTTACATTAAATAATTTTATAAAAAATTTAAAAAAAATATAATTTTGGATCCTTACACTTTAATCAAGTATTATTATAAGTTTTTGCACTTTTTTTAATGTTTTAAGTTTCTATATTTTTTTTAGTATTTTAGTTCTTTTCATAAGCAGTATTATAGGGACTTAACGTGCAGATGGAGAAAAGTTTAGAGACTTAAAATATTAAAAATAAAATATAAAGACCTATAGTGAAACTTGAACAAATTGTAGGAGTTAAATTTATGTTTTTTAAGATTAATATTATTGAGTTCTAAAATTGTAAATAAATTTTATGAGATTAATATTTTTCCCATATAAAATATTAAAATACTATTTTAATCTACTAATAGATAATTACATATCAGATTATTATTATTATTAGTAAAAATATTTATAAAAATTATTTTAAATTGCAAAAGTCTTGAGTTTGAGCATATATAAAGGCAGAAAATGTTTTTAAAAAAATTATCTTCAATTAAACTTAACAATTAAAAAAACTACTTTTAATTCAACCAGCAATATTCAAATCTGATTTAATCAAATAATCAGGTAAAAAAATAAAAAACTTTAGTGACATATATTTTAATGATTGCCAAAAGAAAATGATTGCTAAAAGAGAATACCAACACGAAGAGACTAAATGCCTGTTTAGATGTTCCTTGAAAGCACGTTCAAATCATATTTGATATATTTGGTCAAAAAAAAAATCATATTTAATATGTAGTTTTATCGAATTCAATAAATAATTAAATTCTCAAATATGTTTTTGTCAAATGCAAATTGAAAACTAAACACACAATAAACTAGAAAAGGAAAATATGTTTATGAAGCTTGAAGCAGATTGCTTTCTTCTGTGCCTCTTATTTCATGTGATATAGTTTGTGAAAAATAAATGAGTCATGTGATCATGTCGGCTTAAGAAGAAATTAATGTAAAAACTAGTAGAGAAGTTGTCAAAACCTGTGACATATATTTATGCTCATTAAAATTTAATAATCTAAAGTTTGATATGTTGGTAAAAAATTATATAAATACCTCTATATACATTTTAATGAAAATTTAACATGGCTAGTCATTTTCTTTATCATATAAAATTTGATTTCTAATTGAATCATGCACATTATCCCTCCATCTCAAATTATAAAACAATTTAAAACAATCTTACACATAACAAGAAAACTCAATAATAACACTTTACTAATTTATTTTCTTAATATATTTCAAAAAACACCCTTTATTTAATATAATTTTAAATCTATAATCATTTCAATTCTCTTTTCACACAAAAGGTAATATTAAAAAAATTATCATCAATAAAGTATAAAATTTTTTTATTAAATTATTTTATATTTTAAAAAAATAAAATACCATCAAAGTTGTCTTAGGGGTATAACATAGGCAAAGAAAAAAGGTAGTTAAAAGTTTTAATTCTCTCATTAATGCTCCAACTTTCGCATTTCAAATGCAAAAACCACATTATTCATTATTATGAGATAATTAATTATCAGATTATTATTATTATTATTATTATTATTAAAAAAAACATTTATAAAAATTATTAAATATTAAAAATATTATTATTAAAAAAATATATTATTATTAAGGATAAATGATGATCTCCCTTTAAGTTATGTTTGATTCAAGGTGGGGGAAGAAGGGATGGGAGGCAAGTGTTTTTATGTTACATTATTTGGTTTTATTAGAAGGGAGGGGAGGTGAAAGGTTTTTTATGATTTTTCGTTTGATTCACAAATGTATCATTATATATTATTATATCCTTATATATTAAAATTTATCTTATTTTTACTTCTTTTCATGTAAATCAATTTTATAATAGCAATTTCGTTGACTCACTTTCTATAAAAAAAAAAATACATTAAATCTCATCACCCAAAAGAGTTTTTAAAAAAAATTAAAACAACAGTATTATTTAAACAAAAATATAAACAAAATGATATAAAAAAAACAGTTTTTCTCCCGTGCTACTGTACAAACATGCTGAAGATGAGGCTCTTTGAATTTTTACAAACTTCACCTGTGGGCATTTGGATGTAGAGTTCGTATATTTTATTTTTCACCTGTGGGCAGCTGTGGAATATAACAAAATGAAGAAAGATAAATCAGTCAAAAAATTCAATTCCCCTAAATAAAAAGCCCAATTTGGAGGAAATCAAAATAATTGAAGGGGAAGGCTATTTTGGCTTCCCTCACCCCTCAAATTTCTTAACCAAACAACCCCTCATTTCTTCGTCTCTCCAAAACCTCCCAATCAATCATATTATTAGTCACCCTAAGGTTAAAGTGATATTAAGCAGTAAAACTTGGCCTGCATCCACAAGCAATCCACAATTTTTAGAGACCTTCCTCTAATTGCCCCCACCCCAGCACGATGGTCTCGGATCTTCTCTACTCACAAAATTAATATGGAGTATGTTCTGAGGGAAAGCAAACATTAAAATCAAATGTATAACTGTATACGCTCTCATTTAATATTATAAAGAGTTTTTTTTAAATTACATTATAAAATATAAAATATTTTGAACCTTTCAATATATAATTAATAAAATTTATTTAAAAATATTCTTAATCAGGGGTGTAATTGATAACACCTTATTAAATAAAAATAAATTTAAAAAACATGTATGGTTTTAAAGATAATAAATAAACTAATTCATTGGAAGATATAATTTGGTTAAGAGTATCTTATAATATTAAATAAAGGGATTATAAATTGTTTTTTCCTACCATCCCCTCCAAATACACATTTTACATTTATTTTGTGAATATAGAAAATCCAAACCACATCTTAGACTTCAATATAAAATAAACAATATAATAAATTTTATTCAACAAAGATACCTCACAAGTAATTAACTTAAACAGCCTTCCAACTAAGATTAACTTTTCACAAGGCTTGGACGAAGCTCCCCCGCTATTCCCTCTTCTCGGGGCTTCTCAAGCTCTTATTGGGCCTCATTGTTCAATTGGGCCTTCTTGGATGATTAATAAGGCATCTGTGGAGCTTGCAGAGGAAGAACAGCCTCAGTCTGCTTAACGTCACCTATGATCGTTTGGAATTTGGGCTCATGGACTAAGGCCCAAAAGTATCTCTCTACGTGAGGGAACTCTGAGGTGAAGCCCTTGGTCATGAGGCGAGTGAAACCTCTATGCAAATTGCACGTCATGATGATGTCAGCTAAGGTCACAGATTGCCCAACCAGGTAAGTATTAGAAGCGAGGTGAGTGTTCAATGCCCCCAAGGCTCTCTTCAATGCAGAAATTTTAGCTTCCTCAACCTTCATCAACACCAAAATTTCAAAAAAAAAAAAAAAATCTCAATGCATCGTGATATTAGTTATTAATAGAAATTAGACAAGTTACAGAAAACAACTCAATAATTTATAACATTAGTTCCAATGCTCCCACCAAATAATATGCAGGTATATGTTCATCTGTGTGTGTGTGAGTTGAGTCTGCATCCTAAAATTTTTAGGGTTTTTTTTTTATTTTATGGAATCACACTTCATGTACTTCGCAATGATGAGCATGGAATACTTATCATTAATCTAAATCATTCAGATTAATTTTTATTTTAATTATCTTAATTTAATTTTTATATTTTACAATTTTTTTATTTTAACAAATTCTGAATCTAAAGTAAATATAATTTTTATAATTGATATTTTTTAAAAAATAAATTTATCATTTAAAAAAATTAAAAATTACAAAATTTAAATTTAAACCACTTAAGTTAAGCGTGGATTATGTAGATCTCACTACAACAAAAAGCATGCAGTGTTTCACTGTTCAACACTATGATAAGCACCCATTAAAGACTTGGTCCTTCATTGCTCACAAGGTATTATCATGATCTTTTTTTTTTTTTTTTGGCTCTCACTTAAGTATTCTCATTGCATATTTCAGATTTGAATTCAAGATCACCTCTTGTTAAAATAGATCAACCTCTCACTATATAAAAAACGTTGAATTAGGGATGAAAAATTCCATTGCTAATCAATACAGATTTTGATGCTAAATGAATTAGTGATGGTATTAGCAACTTAATAAGTCTATTAGTAAAAACATCATCATTAATTTATTAGTAATATACTTTTAAATTTTGTTCACTAATTAGTGTTGGAATTAGTGATAGAAATGCTGTATGATAAGGCTGTATTCTCCTCAACACAAATATTATCCACATGCAAATAGAAATCAGTGTTGTCTGAAGATCTTACGGGAAGATGGTAAGGGGCTTGTCCATTTCTTGGTCGGTACCAAGCATTAATATTAGCGTCTATTTCTAATGTGGAAAAGTCAATCCACTGTTCAATTTGAGCCTGAAACATTCCAAAAGAAAACATGGATGAGGTTAAGAGTGGGGAAAAAAAACCAGCAATAAATGCCATGTCTCTTTCTAGAATTCACAAGTTGAGAGAAGCATCAAAGAATAATCCCTTAAATGGGGAGAACGACTATAAAACCCGATAGAAGAAGTGAAAATGCCAAAAAAAAAAAATTCACAAAATGCTAAAATATCCTTGAAGTCTCTAGTTTCTTTAATGTAAACATATTTTTACACGCAATTATCAAAATACCCTTATATTATTATATATTAAAAAAATCCAGCCCTCCATGTTTTAATATAAAGGTACTTTAGTGATTGAATATAAAAACATATTTATATTAAAGGAATCTGGGGCTTTAAGAATATTTTAGCATTTCATGAGATTTTATTGTATTTTTATGTTCCTGTGGGACTTTATAATAACTATCCCATGTTTTTTAATTATAGGAATTCCAAATCATTTGCTTATCTTTCCTATCAAGCTAAAATATTTTTATTTCAAAAGTTTAAAATATTATTAAGTTTTATAAAAGTAAATTAAAACAGAATTTGAATTGTTCAATTATTATTTGAACAGTTCAAATTATTTAAGATTATATCATTTTATATGCAAAGGGAAAAGGGAGATTGATAAAAACGTACATAGTCAATGAGAGAAGATCCATACAATGCATTGTCACTCTTCAACCGAGCAACTGCACCAACTCAACCAAAAAACACTTAAACACCCTCCAATTCAATGCATAACACAAATTCATTTTAATATAAAAAAAATGATCTTATTACCATAGCGAGCAATTGCATTACTCTCAAATATTGGACCATTTGGTGTTTCCAACACAGGAACCTGAAAGGACAGTGTGTCTCTATAAGTTCAATACATTCAAAAAAATATAATAAAACTTTTATTCTCTTAAGTTTTTCTTAATCAATTATTGATTTGGTTTTGGAAAAAAATATAACTTTGGACCCTTGCATTTTATTATAAGTTTTGCATTTTTTTGGTATTATAAATCTTTTTTTCTTTGGTGTTTTAAATTCTTATAACACCACTCATAAAGTGACCTAAAATATTATAAAATAAAAATATATAGATCTAAAATACCGAAAAACAAGTGTAAGGATACAAAGTTATATTTTTTTTATTTTTAAAGTTTAATTTTTATCAATCAAATCCTTAAAATTTCAAAATCATGCGCAATTTATTCTTTTAATTTAAGGGGGAAAACATCACAAGGACTAATTCTGTGTGCTTACAAAATTTTAGAAATGTAGTTAATAAAAATTAAACTTCAAGGATTAAATTGATAATTAAGATAAACTTAAAGAAACACAAGTTTCATTATTCTACTAAAAAAGCTTATCCTAATTAGAATAAGATTATAGCATACCTTGCCAATAGGGTTCATGTTGAGATATTGAGGAGTTTTATTAGAAACACCCATCTCAAAATTTGGTGCAAGTTTAACTTCCACACCACTATACTCTGCTGTAATGAATATCTTGTAAGTATTTTTGTTTGTTTTCCGTGCATGCAAGGTCTACAACACATAAAAAGTAAGTGAATAAATAAGAGAGAAGCCTCAGTTATTAGATAGTCTAAGAAATATCCTAATATAAACAAACTAGTCCTCATATAAACAAAAAGATTAAAGGAAATGTTACCACCAAGAAGCAAGAACCATTTGGCTCAATAACATGAGCATTCCACTTTGATGTAAGTTGTTGTGAGTTCTATTCTTCATAAGTGGAAAAATAGGTTGGATTAAGTTATATGGGGTTGTTGGTTAGTTCGAGATGACATGTGTGTTGGGTGGTTGAGTATTGTATGTGTGTTTCTTCTTACATAGGGAGGGTTAGTTAGAAAGTTTTTTTTTTTTTCAAAAAAACATTTTGCCTTCTAATGATTTGAGCAAGAACATTTAGTATCCCAATTTTTTTTTAATGATTCAATGTTATTCTTAAACGGTTAAAAACAATGGATTGTTATCCCTACATATAGTTAACAAAAGTTAACATTGATTTGACTTCAAAAATTATAAAAAAAACCTAAAAATTACAAAAAAATTTTAAAAATTACATATAAGTACCATACTAAAAAATAAATACTACAAGATAAATATTATTTCTTATCATCTAATAGACTAAAATATTATTTTGAACAACACTTTGATAGGCTATTGGATGTTTATCGAATCATTATTGTTAGTAACAATACTGATAATTGATTAAAAATATTTTTTTAATAACATCTTATAAAAACATTAACACTTTAATATTTAATAATTTTTATCAGTGCTATTACTAGCAATGCTAATTGATAATTATCCAATAGTTGGTTAAAGTGGCTTGTTAGAATGAATATTTTGATCTTTCACATAAGTAAGAAACGATAGTAGTCTCTTCGAATTTATTTATAATTTAAGAGAATTAATTGATAATTTAAGAAATTTACTTGTATTAATTTTTTTATAGGATCCTTTAATATAATTTTTAGGTCTTTGTCTATTTTAACTAACAGTCAAACTTAACATATTTAATGGTAAAGTAAAATTACACTATTATTAAATGTTAAAAGAAAACATTGCACAAAAAAAAAAATACTTTACATGAATATTTGAAGGGTTAAAATGTACTTTAATTTTGAACAAAACTAGGGGAAGATGTCTTGCTTTATTACAAAGTTTAAAAAAAAATGAATATAATAGCTCAAAACTAATATGATTTCCTAAAGAAGGAAATACATAGAAGCAAAACCCAATTATAAGTGTGAATATGTTTCCACAGATATTTTCTAACTTCTTTTTTTTTTTTAAAAATAATTGTTGGCTAGAGTTTAAATTTAGAGGCGATAAAATTTTTCTATTCAATAACAACTCTATGTAACCTGATTTCATTTATGGGGCTTAGAATTTTCTTGGATTGAAGAGGTGAAAAAGCATATTCAATCCCAAACCATATGCTTAAAATCGGAAATTAAAATCATTTTTTTATAACTGTCTCACGTCCAATGTCATTCATTAATTCAAGTTTGAGTATTATCACGCCCAAATAAAAGATGGATATTTTAAAATAGTTATTTTTAACATAAATTGGAATATTTAATGTTCCTTCAGAGGTAAATCCTTTCTATTTGATGCAAACATCAATCCCATCATTGTCAAAATTCTTTCTTATCTTTATCTTTTTTCTTTTTTCTTTTTTGTTTATCTAAAAGCTCACTGATACTGATAATCCATATCAATCACCAATACAAGAACCTAGAACCTCTCCAAATTCTCATAACATTTAAATAACAGAGTGAGATAAGACATAACAGATTCAAACCTCATCTTCGTACAATATTTTTTGTCTACACAATAATTCAAAACTTCAGATAACAAAGGCTAACACAAGCAGATTGATAAATCAGTTTGGTGTACAGAACATAGTTGTACTCTTGTAAATGTCAGAGAACCAGATCAACACCAATTCAATCAAGGAAAGCCAGACTTTTATAGTTTAAAATTATAAAACACTTGTCCCTATTTGATTTTCTTTACCCAAAACTACATTTGGCATTTAATGATAGTCGATTATTATAATAAAAATTATTTTTAAATATTTTTTTGAAAAGCCAATTTCCCTATTAAATGTCCCTGTTCTCACTTTCAGTTTCAAAAGTTTTAAACTTGTTGGTTTTTCAAATCCATTTTCAAACCTCGTTTGAATGTTTTCACAAAGTTCTTTTTAACATAAATGTACACCTAAATAATATTAAGCTTTTTAAAAGTGAAAAGTAACTTAATTAAAAGTAAAATATAAGGTTATTAAATGAGTTCTATTATACTTTTCATGCAACACGACTTTTAATCTCGAATTTTGTACAACATAAGAGAGCTTGGGATTTAATTATTGAGAAACCAAATATATATATATAACTCACCAGGGCCATGGTTTCACAGAAAAAGACGCTGCTCTTGCTCAAGATCTGATTACCAAAAATAAAGGCCTGTCAATAAGCAGATACTCATAATTTCCGAGGGGGATAAGAATCCTAAAAATGCAAAATTACTCAGAATTAAAAAAGAAGAAGAAGAAGCAAATTTTCATCAAAATTCAAACCAGATTTTAGATAGGAGAGGAAGAGAGAGAGAGAACTGATACTTGGAGAGTTTGAGGAGTGAGAACTTAAAGCACAAGATTTTATAGACAACCCAACCAGAGCTGTTTGAGATTAGTTTATAATAAAGGGTTAATTTCTTAACCCTTAAACAAAACCAAAGGCTAAAAAAATTGAATTATGAATTTAAGATATGATTATCTCATGAATGATGATCTGTATCTGCTTGCTTCAATTTTTTAATTCAATAAAATATGCCATCTTGTTCTTATTAAGTTGGCCAATACTCTGAATCATGTGTTGTGAAAGGCCCATGACTTTAATTACTTGAATAAATAAGCAGAGTTATATTAAAGACACCGTGGGCCAGGGGCGTTTCCGCACCGTTGACTTTAATAGTTTGAATAAATAAATAATCAAATAGAATTATGTTTAAAAAATGATGTATACGTTGTGGCCATTATATGCAATATGCATCTTTACCATTATTATAAAAAAAAATATATCTACTAGTCCTTACATATTTATTTGATTTTGAATCAAGTCCCTACAGTTTATTTTGTTTCATTCAAGCCTTTATAATTTGATCAATTAAATTTTTTAATTTCTAAAAATTAAAATCCTTCAATTTTTTTCTTTTAAAAAAATTAATAAATTTTATATTTTATTAAATGATTATATAACTTTAGAATTAATTACATAATTTCTATAACCCAAAATTTAATATAATTAAGTTGTCTTCTAATTTTGTTATGCATATAGAATTTTCATAAAAATTAATAAAAATGTAAAAAAAATGTATTAAATCAAATTTTCTTTTTTTATTTTGGTTTAAAATATTAAATTAATTTTTTTTTTGTAAATTTCAAGAATATTTTTGTTTTATGAAATTTAATTATTCATTATTAATTTTAACATTTAAGAGTTAATATATATATATATATAATAAATCAAACTATAAGGGTTTAATTAAAAAATAAACTGTAAGGACATAATTTAAAATTGTGTGAGATTATAAGAAATTTCAAATATATTTTTCCTTGTTATAAATAATTAACAAATTATACTATTAAAAAAATGAATAAAGGACTTTAGTAGAACCAATTATAATATTTAACAATTTGTTTCTCCATGCTTTTCAAGCTTTTACAAGGTAGTAGAGGGATGAAATAGTTAACAAAGTCAACGTCAAGCCCGGGAGTTTCTTTAACCAATGGATCATTTTATTTATTTAACATATGAAAAAAATAAAATATTTTTAAATAAATTTTATTCTCAATAAATTAGTAAATATTTTTAAACTAATAATATCTTCTCATGTTTACCCTTATTTAATAGGACATTTCACTTAAAAGTAAACAACAACAACAACAAGCCTTTATCCTATAGGTGGGATCGGCTACATGAATTGTAAGACGCCATTGTGCTCTATCATTTATCAAGCTTTTAGAAATATTATTAATTAAAAGATCGCGTTCCATTATAACGTCTATTGTCCATGTTCATGATAGATTCAACAAAGTTTTACCTTGGCTGTTGATGGTCTAACACAACCCTCCTCCTTTATCCGGGCTTGGGACTGGTTATAAATATAGGCGGAGTTAAAAGTAAATATAAAATAATTTAAAAGTAAATATTTCACTTAAAAGTAAATATAAAATAATTTATTTATTAAAGGTATTTTTGAAAAAAAAAAACCACATTCATTACATCTTAAAATAATAAAAATGCTTTATACTTTTAACATTTAATCTCTCAAAAAATACCTTATAATTTTAAATAAAGGGAATATATTTTGTGTTAACTGTGAGTGTTACCCTTCAATTTTCTTTTTCAAAATAGGGGTGACAAAATTTTGGCATTTTAAATCTGTCTTGATTATCAATTTGGTTTTTGAAGCTTAATCTTTGTCAATTAAATTCTTCAACTTTCTCTAATCTTCCAAGACAAAGGAACAACAAAGTAGTTCATTCACAATATGATAGAAGATTTATGGGGGAAGGAGATGCGTTTCGATGAAAAAGCAACCAGTGATGTTGATGCTTTGGAAGGATGATTCTGCTGTACAATTCTAAAAATTATTATTTATTAATTATATATAGTGACAAAACTTTACAGATTTCATTGATAAAAATTAAATTTTTAAAATCAAATTAATAATTAAGATAAATTTAAGGTTATCCCTTTATTTAATTTTCTTAAGTTTGTATTGATTTTTAGGGGGAAAAAAATAAGGGAAGAATGGTGTGCTCGTAATAATTGATTAATGTGAATTTGTCATAGGAAAAAAATGAGAAAATTAGGGCTTGTTTAGATTTTGTTTCCACTTTTTATTTTTAAAAACTATTTTGTAAGTCAATTTCTAAAAATTATTTTTTAAAACAAAACAAAATGAGAGTGTGTTTGGTTATATTAATTAAAAATAATTTTAGAATTAAAAAATTGACTAATAATTAGATAGTTGGCGGCTAATGATTGTGATTTATAATAATAATTGATTAAGCTAAATGTAATTTGTAATAATCAAATGAAAATATTTTTATAAACAATTACATTCAAAACACTTGTCCAAATGATTTTTAATCTTTTTTAAAATAGAAGATAATTTTTAAAAACAAAAAACAAACAGACTCCTGTATATTTTGAATGGGCTTTTATGTGGTCCTTCAACTATATTTTGTTATGCCACTACTCCTCAAGAGTTTCATTTTTTTTTTTTGGTTCTTAGTTCTTACATATTTGAGTGTGTATCTGACTTAAAAAAAAAAAGGAAATTTGTGTAATATGCTATTTTGATACTTTTAAGCCAACATTTAACTAGCCAATCAACTAATTAACAATATTTTAAATATGTCGTTAATTGAAAGGCAAGCTAGCGTCATCAAGTTTGGCTGAGATTTGTGTATCCTTAACAACATTTAAGAATTTATTGTACTGATAATTTTGATAGAGGAAAAAATTTGAGAAAACTGAGTCTTGTTTGGTTTCTGTTTTAATTTTTTTATTTTAAAAATAAAAAAATTGTTTGGATAAATATTTTTAATTTAATTGTTTTTAAAGCTGCTTTCATTTTTTGTTTGTTAAAAATAAAAATAGAAATATCTTAAAGTTATTTTCATTTTATTTTTCTCATTTTCAAAACATACTACATTTGATTATTGAACAATATGATGAATTTCTATCATAAATTATCATCATTAATTGTTTGTAACCATTACTATCAATCTATTTTTTAATATTAAAACTGTTTTTGAATTAACATAATCAAATAGATTTTTATTTTTTTTATTTTGAAAACAATTATGAAAATTGTATTATATAAAGAATTTTAAAGAAAATAAAAAATGGAATTACAAACCAAATAAGCCCTTAATCTCTTGTTCCTAAAAATTGCATCGATTTTTTATTTTCTCCTTGAACTACTCCTTCCTCATAAATTGTGAGACACTTTTACAGGATTTACTGTTACAAAATATGAAACACTTTAATAAAAATAAAATTTTATTAATAATATTTTTTAATATTATTCTTCTCATTATATTCTCTCTTTAATATTTTTTTATAAATAGTATTAAAAAACGATCATTATTGAAAATATATATTTTTATTTTGAAAAAATAAAATTGTAAAAGGTAGCTTTATCAATACGTGTATTTCGTTTAAAAATATTTTATGATTTAGGAAATATAATTTTTGTCATGCCACTTCTCAAGAGTTTCACTCCTGAAAACATTTAAATGAAAAAAAAAAATTTCCGGGCAGGTTTTTGTAACTTTTTTTTTTCCAAATACTTGTGTAGGATTTTGGGGATAAATAAATAATGCAACAAAATTCAAGAAAACCTACATGTCGGGCACTAGTTTTCATAGTTGTAAATCTTAACGCCAAAAATATTTATAAATTTTTATTACATTGATTAAATTTTATGGCGGCCACTTGGGTAGAGCAATAAGTAGCAAGTTTCATTCCATTCCTAACACTTCTTCCATGCTTTGAAATTAATTTTTGATACAACATCTGGACGAAACCTTATCCGCTCTATCCTATTGGGAAGCAGCAGGACGAATACAAGTGCCATGCACAGGCAAAAAAGGAAAAATATTGGAATTCCAATTTTATCCAACTTATAATCCCAGAACAGCTTCATTAAAAATTTATACTCAAAACGAGATCAACATCACTTACAAAATAGTCTTGCTAGCTACGATCAAAATTATGGCAAAAGCAACAACCCTCAGGTTTTAAGGTCTCTCAAATCACATACAGCTAAGACTTACCCATCAATTAAACAAGAAAGAAATCAAATTCTACTCAAAAAAAGGATGCGCGTCACATATAAATGCCCTTCCACCTAGGGATTGATTTTTCACTTGAAGCACTTGGCATCCAAGAGAGGCTCACCCTCAAAAGGTTCATAATCTTCAATCATCTGATTGACACGCTCCTTTTGAGCTTCATCTGAGATATCAACCTTTTTCCATTCATAGAGTTCCATGTCATAGCATTCATCAAGCACAAATTGTGGTATTTCTTGCCCACGGAATAGCCACAACCCCTTGACCTTAAATGGTGGTTCAGATCCAATTACAAGCATTTTTCCAAACGCATATTTGCGAGCTAGATCCATCCTCTGAAGAAATCCACCAACTTTGTTCATAGTCACAAAGGAAACAGTATTTTCTTCATTGTATTTGTAATCACAGAACCAGAGAGAGTATCCCTCAGGGTCATACATGTCCCAGAATCCTGCAAGAAAGGAAAGAGAAAATAAAATATGTAAAAATGCCATCTCTGAAACAAAGACATGCTTGTATAGTTGTAAAATAATATAAGCTTCATTCTGGTTTATATAAACAGTGTTTCAGTAAGTGAAATCTAGTCACAGTACCTTTGATTGCAACCTCACGGAAGTTAGTCTTGGTGTTTGAGTAGAGTCTTTTCCACTCATCCAATATCATCTTACTTGGAGGAAGAAGATCAAGAGGATTCTTGGCTTTGGGCTTGGGTGCCTCCTCCTCTTCATCCTCTTTGGGCTTTTCAGGCTCTTTCTTAGCCTCTTTCTTAGGTGGGGCCTCTTTCTTTGGCTGGGCCTCTTTCTTAGTTTTAGCAGATTCTTTGGGCTTCTGTGCAGATTGTATAGGTGGAACAATTTCAGCCTGCTTAACCTCCCCCAAGATCTTATGGAATTTGGGTTGATTGACCAAGGTCCAGAAGTATCTCTCAACATGAGGGAACTCTGAGGTGAAGCTCTTAGTCATGAGCTGAGTGAAACCCAGAAACAAATTGCATGTCACAATAATATCTGCTAGGGTCACAGAATGCCCAACCAGATACGTGTTAGAAGCAAGGTGAGTGTTCAATGCGCCCAATGCCCTCTTAAGTGCAGAAATTGCAGCTTCCTCAACCTTCATTAAGAAGATTTTTCAGATCAAATTAAAGTGTCAAGGAATCAGAATATCTATGAATACAAGACAAATTAAAAAAAAAAAAACTTCAACAGAACCCCGCAATTGAGTTTTTAAAACAGAGCATCATCTAACCTAAAAAAAATCAACTTCTAGGATCTCTTTCATTACCCATAAAGTGTTCCCATGACATATAACTGAAATGAAATGTCACATACTAACTAACAGAATCAGTTCTCCATAATATAAATATCATAAAAAAAAGGAAAATTCATCTAACTTACAGGAGGAAGGTAAGTGGCTCGCCCCATTCTTGGCCTGTACCAGGTGATAATATTAGCATCAATCTCTAATGATGAAAAATCAATCCACTGTTCAATGTGAGCCTGAAAAGTCAAAAGATAACAAAAGAATTAGAAAGAGGAGACACTTTCTAGAAGTCACAAGCTTAGATATGTGAAAGAAAACATGAAGACTGCACGAGAGCAAGAAATGACCACCTATAAAAAACTTACATAGTCCATTAGAGAAGATCCATACAATGCATTGTCACCCTTCAATCGAGCAACTGCACCAACCCAACAAGGAACGCTTAAAACATACTCCCTTATATGAACAATACAAACATTTCTGTATAAATCATCTCACCATAGCGAGCAATGGCATTACTCTCAAAAACTGGACCATCTGGTGTCTCCAACACAGGAACCTGAAAGGACAATCTATCCTTATAAGTTCAAATTAAAATCATCTTTTCCTAAATATAGAAAAAGACTATATGGCATACCTTGCCAATAGGGTTCATCTTGAAAGGACAATCTATCCTTATAAGTTCAAATTAAAACCATCTTTTCCTAAATATAGAAAAAGACTATATAGCATACCTTGCCAATAGGGTTCATCCTGAGAAATTCAGGAGTTTTATTAGAAACACCCATCTCAAATTTTGGGGCCAATTTAACATCAACACCACTGTACTCAGCAGCAATGAGTGTCTTGTAAGCATTTTTATTTGTTTTTCCTGCATGAAGGATCTAGACACATAACAAGTAAGACTATCAGTAATAGAGATAATTAGTAGCTATGCTTGAGACCATTGATGAAGACAAAAGCAAAACAGTAAGAATTATGCTGATACAAAAAGAAATTCTCTACTTTAAAGGTTATTCAATGGCATAGTGTTCATTAAATTTGAAAACATTAATTTTATGAACAGATAGGAGAAAAACAACATTGTAAAGAGGAATAGGTTTAACTTTAAACAGAGATTGCTGATTTCAATTCTTCTTATGAATAACTTTCTCTACTTGACTATGAATATGAGTTGAAACTCCATAGACTAACATCTTAGGTAGGTCTCAGCTTTGCTCTTGACCTAATATATCACCACAGGTATTCTCCTAATATTTCGAATTCAATGATCTGACTAAAACAAATAAATACATTTATGTTTATCTTTCATAACTCATCATCACACCATTATTTTTTTCTCAGACTGAAGCATCTCACACTAAGCCAAACTTCGGAGAAGAAAGTAAAAACAAGATAGATAAATCATCTTGTCGTACGTACACAATCATGCTATTATGAATATAAGAGAACAACCAGATCAGCACAAATTCAATCAACGAAAGAAAGATTTAGAAAATTACTCACCAGCGCCATGGCTTCCCAGAAAAACGTGCCGCCCTTATTCAAGATCTGATAACAAAAAAAACCAAAAACCATCCAATAAGCCAATAGCCAGAATTAAAGCAAAATTGGATCACAAAAGAAAAATACACACGTAAAGGAAATTCAGATTATTCAGCCTGTAAGAGGAGGCAAGTAGAGAGAGATAGAGATGGGAAAGTGGGGCAGGTCTTACCGTACCGGCGTTCTTCCGGAGCTCAAGTGCTGCGCCTTGAAGGGTTGAGAAGCAGTACAGGAAGTGAAGCAGGCTAGGGTTTTGTAGCGTCCGAAAGACGAATAAAAAACCGCATATCCAGACGGGTCGGGTCTACCCACCCGACATCAATGTTTAGGTTCGGGCAAATCGCAAAACATGGATGCAAAAATAAGCGGAAAAAATAGGATTTTTTTTTTAAAAATGCATATTTCTTGTATATTTTAATTTTATATTAGACGTACTCATTTAATTTTATAAAATTATTCCTAAAACTATTTAGTTTCAAACAAAATACTAACATTGAAATTTTAAATATGAACAAAATATTCTTAAACTTTAATATATTAAATTTAATTTTTTAAATAATAATAATTAGCACAAAAATTTATTATTTAAAACTCATGGTATTAAAACTAGAAGACTAAAAAAATACTTTATAAAATCAAGAGATTAACTGAAAATATTATATAAATTAGAATACTAATAATGAGAATGTAACTTTATAATTTTAAAATACTAACTGTATATTTGTCAATAAAAAATAATTTTATAATTATCTTTATATTAAAAAAATTATAAATTAAAATTTTATTAGAATACTAATCATAAGAATGTAATTAATATTATTTTCTAACATTAGTTGTTGTTGTTTGCTAAAGACTCTTTAATCCTGGAAGAGTATAATACTAACTCTTCCAACGCAGTGAATCTAATTCAATAAACACTCTATAGATAATGTTATTTAAAAGTGATAATAGAGTATGTAACAATGAAATAAAAAAGTGATAAATAAGAACATTTAAATTGTTTAGTTTAAACAAAAATTTTAATATAGGAGTTTCAATTAAAAATAGAAAATTACTAAACATCAGGATAAGCATCACATTGTTTTTTTTTTTTTTTGACTGAAGCATCACATTGTTAATTGGTAATTAAACAAATCCACACATGGATTTTTGAGTGAGCTCATGAATCTTATGTTTATTAGTTGGTTTTCTAAGTCACCTTAATCATCACTTATTTCATAGATCTAATAACTAATACCATTTTTATTTCTTTTGGTGTTCTTGGCTTTGCTTCACCTTAATTTTTATTTGAATAAGTAAAGTAATGCTCGTTTCACTTTTGTATGTCCATGGAGTTCTAAAAGATCCAAATTCCAAACCTTAAGTTGAATATCGCAATAGCTTAACATAAACTTGCTAAAGCATTATTGGCTGCTATTTTGAGAAAGGCGAATTTTTCAATGAAATAAACCTAATTCTGCCACGTGCCACCACAAATGCATGTCAAGTGGTGGTTAATAAAAATCTAAAAAATTATTCTTACCCAAACAAAGCTTTAACCGATCCGCTTTTGCTGAACTCTTTTAATTGACATAACTATCTAGCATCATGTTTTTAGATTAAATTTAAGCTTAAAACTAATTGAAAACATTACACATAGACGTTATTATCAAACTCTTAAGTTAACTCTACAAATTTATTACTTTTATATTTTTAATTTATAAAATCGTATTAACTCGCTCATAAACTTAAATTAAAATAAATTCAATTAAACTTGTAAGTTGACTCTTTGAATTTATCATTTTTATGTTTCTAAAACTTATAGAACTATGTCAATCCGCTCATAAACTCATCAAGCAAGATATCTATATGCTATATAAAACTAGATTCATAAAAGCGGTGAGATTTAGTTTAATGAAAAATAAAACTAAAAATACCAAAAATAAGTTGTCATATTTTAAAATTTTTATATTGAGTATAATAATCCATAAATATAGGTAGATTTAATTTTAATGATTTATATTTAAAATATGTTTAAATTAAATTATGGTCATATTTTATATTTTAATTATTTAATCATGTACTTTTAAAGGTTATTTATTAATAAAGATAAACTCTTATGAGTTTATGATCCAAGTTTACATTTCGAATTTACATCCCTATTACGGGTTTATTTAAATTCGCGAGTTTAACAACCTTGTACATAGGTGCTTTTTTATTAAAGGTAATCATGTCTAAGATATGGCCAAATGCTAAATATGAGCAATAAATACTTCTTTCATAAGGATTTAAAAGAGAAATTTATTTTCTTCCACCCAACCCAACCATCATTAAAATTAATTAATATCAATATAAAATATAAAACATGTAGTTAATTTAGATTCCATACAAAAGGAAAGGGTCTGACTCCAATTTGGGATAATATTTTGTCATAAAGGATTCATGAAGCTCAAAGTAGTAAACAGTAGATGAGAATGAAGATAACGATATCTTCTAAACCATTAATACTTGTTATTGGAATAACCATAGAGAAATCCAATGCAAGAAAATTAGTTATATGTCCACTAAAATTGAGTTATTACTAATAGGTCCCTGAAAAACTTGTACAAAATACACACACGATATGTTAAAAAAAAATTCCATTTAACTCACAAATATTAGAGGAGGCCAATAAATTTAAACATAAATTATTAATTACTAATTATTAGATACTTTTGTCACTTGTTTTGAACATAAATTATCCATAGCATCATTTTGAAATTTCAAAAAATATTAATTACTATTTTTTCAATGACTTTAGAAGTTCAAGACAACATTTTTTACCAAAATAAATTTAATACATACTCCCTTCATTTAATATCATATTTTTTTAAAGCATTATGTTAAAAAAAATAAAGCAGTTTACGTCTATCAAGATGCAATTAAAAATGTTTTCATAAAATATCTTTAATTAAGGGTGTAATTATTGTATAAAAATGGAGTGTAATTAATAAAGTTTACTAATTAAGACACCATATTAAATAATGATAAATGATAAATATGAGAAAAGGTGCAATTTTAAAAACAATTAACTAATTACATGCTTGGTTTTTCATTGACCAAAGGTAGGTTGTCAAAAATTAATTTAACAAAATTCAATTTAGTGAAAATTAATTGTTACAATAAAATCTGTATTTGAATACATTTTTTTTTAAAGTCAATTCGATAAATTAGAAGTTGTTTAAATTATATATAGTAAAATATACTTTTGAATATATAATTGCTGGTGTGTGTTTTCCCAAATATAAGTGGTAGTTAAGCTTTCATTCTGAACTTAATAATACGTCAGACTTACAATTTTCAAAAGGCTTGAATAGAAGATATTTATCAGCTTCTGAAAAGTTAAACACATAACAGAGTAAAGGACTCGAGTGTCTTGCTATAGTGATAACATCAGGAGGAAGAAGAAATTGAACACGAAAATTGCTACCTAACCACAGCAGTTGCTCTTCTGCTGGACTGGCTGGCCTTTCATTTGAACAGTTCCTGTTGACTTGCTAACGCTTGGCTGGCTTCCCATCCTGCATGCAAGTTCAAATCATAATGAATTCATAGTCTATCAAGTTAATATTACTTTTTTTTAGGTAAGTTTAAGGAGTAAGCAGCACAATTGGCCTTGAGTCAAATTTCTCTTCACTATCCTTCCACTGCAGTTTTGAACCGTTCAGATCAAATTATGATTGTACAAATTAATTTACATTTTTATAAAATGCCAAATCTAAAGCATCAAATTTAATTCGAGGATCTTCCAACGTAGTGGATCATCCATTTAGTGGAGAAAAACTTGGCGTATAATGGGTCTCACTTGTGTGGGGCCCACTTTTCACTTCCTATCTCTCTCTTAGAGATATTATTTTATATCTGGAGAGGAACCAAATGCAGTCATGAGCGGGCCATTGACACTCTAACCAAAGAGTTTTAAGATAGCTGATCTCGACCACCATTCTTCAGTAATCAGTATTCAGAAAAAAAAAAAAACAGAGAGAACTCGAAATTGCCGGGAGTGTTGGAAGTAAACTTATACCATAATTTTGATTATATTCGAAAATTCATGGAGTCCCAAGGACACAAAAGGGGGGAAAAAACAAGAAAATTTTACGTACTTCTTCTTAATCTCAGCTGCCATGGTTAAGAAAGCCTGCTCAACATTGATTGAGTCTTTGGCACTTGTCTCAAGGAAAGGGATACCAAGTTCATCTGCAAATGCCTGTGATTTGTTGCCACGCCCACAAATAAATATCAAGTCAGACTACTGAAAATGTGATCTTATTGTTCAATTTTAGTACCTCACAGAATTATTACCGGTGTTCCATTTGAAGTTTAGGCATTTGCTACTAATACTTCACATAAAAAAAAAAAAAAAAAACATCTATGATGAAGAATGTAAACCTTTGATACCTGCCCTTTTAGCTAGCAAATCTTACAAATTCATCACGATATGTCATAATTCAAACAAACTTTTCATTTCCATATAAAAATCTTACTAAGGTCCAATTTATTCCCAACACCATCTAGAAGACACTTATAGTAATCAGAGCATAGTTCAAGCAGAAAAATTAATTTCTCCTTACGTTCTTCTCTTGAATTTTGTAGAAGACAAAAGAGATTAGTTTAAATCATTTAATATATTCTTTTCCTTTTCTTTTTCCAGTGACCATGAATCATCACACAGAATGAAATTAAAAATTTTGTTGATTTCATATGGGGAAGCATGTGAGGGTTATGCTGCAAACAAGAAACTCAAGCAAAAAGAAACAGAAGACCAAAATTATGATCCACACACATGCTATAGTTCAAACATCAGATATAAATTTCTTGTTAAACAATATCCATATAGAAAGTATGCATATCTGAGCCAAAAAAATGATTTCAGCTTACTAATTTTTGAGTAGACTGAACTTATATAAGAATATAAACAGGATAATATAGATAATTTACGAAGAAAGGAGAACTAAATAGTGCCATTTACCTTTCCTGTTTGTGTGTCAACAACTTTGTTATCAGTTAGATCACATTTGTTCCCAACAAGAAGCTTGCATACACTGTCATTTGCATATCTATCAATTTCATTTAACCATTGCTTAACATTGTTGAAGCTTTCCTGCTCAGTTACATCATATACAATCTGTTGCAACATACAAAGTTTCAGAATTTTGCTAACAGATTTTATTATTGATTAGATTATTCTCTATTTTTCATACAAAAAAAAAAAACTCACAATTATTCCATGTGCTCCTCTATAATAACTGCTTGTTATAGTCCTGAATCGCTCCTGCCCAGCAGTATCCCACTGAACAGACAGCAAAGCAAAACCATTAAGCTGTAGTTAGAAAAAAGCTGGCACCTTCACTGGATTCAGTGAATCATATATCTGGGATAAGCAAATTTTTTTTTTTTTGGTCGAAAGGATAAGAAAGTCAAGAAATGTACTTAACATCTGTATTTAATTAAAATATTATCTTCTGAAACATGCATTGAAATAAATCTGCAAGCTTATGCATAAATTCTAAGACAAAAATAAGGGATGAGGATAGAGCATAAGGAAGAAGCACTAAAGTCAGCAATGCACCAAAAATAGAAGCATATTTGAACAATGTTCGTGGAAAGCCCGTGCCGTATCTTACAGCAAAAAATGCTTCCACAAAACCACGAAAAGAAAGAGAAAGGAGAGATCATACAAACTATGAATGCACCATCATTCTCAAATCTCAAACTGAAATAAATGTAACCACATTTTGCAGAATAGAAGCCCTAATTGGGATAGGTTTAAAATAGAAAATTTCTAACAAACAAGCATAAACCACCATTTCAACTTCTACATAAAAGGCCAAAACAAGAAACCAAAGGAAACGGGAAAGGGAAAAAAAGGCAACTCATACACATTTAGCATATTACACATAAGACAATGCCCAGAGATACCAGAATATCTTTTGATATAATTACTTATAAGTGTTCTGTGTAATTGAAGATAATTTTTACTCACAATCTGCAACTTGATTGTTTTCCCTTCCAGCTCCACAGTTCTAATTTTCTGGGAAAAAAATAATCCCGAAATGTGTACTTCAGATCACAAAGAAGCAAATTTATCCAAAAATTGAATTCATACAGAGAAATAAAAGAACTAACAAAATCAACTCCAATGGTACTGATATAGCTGTCCACATACGAGTCATCCTGAAAGAAAAAATAAACAATCAAATAACCGACCAGCAACCTTAAAACACTAATCCACGTTTTCACTCTTCGAAACCATAACCACAATCAAGTAAAACAGACCATGACCAAAGGTCTAACAGAGTCAACTCACAGCAAATCTGAGAAGCAGGCAAGACTTTCCAACAGAAGAGTCCCCGATTAGCAGAAGCTTGAACAGATAATCGCTGAAATCGTGCCAGAAAAGGAACAAGAATATACAGAGTTAACCACCAAAATAGTGTGTTATAGAAAATGAAGAAAAGCGAAGAAGGAACGAACTCACTATTCGTTGCTCATTATGACGGTGTTTGAATCCAAATGGAAATAGGAAACACCTACGGTGGCTTTCGCTGTTCGCTGCCTTTGGAAGCAAGAACAAAGCAAACAAGCGGTCACTGATAAATGCCCCTTCGTCGACGTCGATTAATTAATAGGAAATAATTTTAGAGGTTATCATTGGATCGCTTTTCTCGCGGATAATAACGCGACAAAGACGCCTTCTACTTTTCAGTGATAAGTTTTGGGCGAAATTGCAAATAATGACCCATTCCACAGACTTTTTAAATTTTGTTGCTTAAAAACTCCTTAAAAATGGTAATTATAAGTCATAAATAATAATGTATGATGTAATGATATATTTTTTTAATAAAATTTGGTATTTTTTTAAATCAACGTCAATATATCTTTAAAATTTATACCAAACTACTGGCCAACAAAAATTTATGCGATATAAATACACATTTTAATAAAAGTTTGTAATTATTTTTTTATATAACTATCTAATTGTTTTAGATTTAAAAATTATTGGGTTTAATTTGAAATATTTTTTTAAAAGAAAATTATGCATTCACACGAGGTACAAACCAGGGAACTTGGCATCTTCTCTTACATCAACCACTAAATAGTTAATGTTCCTCTCGATGAAAAACATTCCATTATTTGCCAATGGGTCCCATATTTGTGCACTGCAAGACAATTTCCATAAACATTGGAAAAAAAATCTCATGTCTAATTAATGTAATTTGATGAGTTGGCGACTCCCATTAAAAATGTATAAGCAACATGACAAACTCTAAGCCTAAGGTGCAGAGCAATCCCCTTTTTGCTGGCCCAAAAAATATAATATTTTTTTCATTTAAAATAAACAATTCTTTTACATTATTTTAGGAGCGATGACAATGTGGGGGCCAATACCTTCATTTAATTTTAGTGTATGACAGAAAACATCGGACCGACCTTTTGTCCTTAATAATCATATAACATTACATAATTATCTTTGTTTTTCTAAAATGTTACATGTTAAAATTTGAAAGATTAGTTGTAAATTATTACATAATTAATAGTTAGTAACTTATGAAATACAAGTATCAAATATTTGCAATAAGTACTTTTAAAATTTCATATTGACTCCTCAAGTAGGTACCGTTTTAAAACTCATCAAAGATTTTTACACATTTAAAGATTTAAACTAGCTTTAACAATTTTTTTTAACAATCATAGTTATACATAAAGAGTTCTTATAAAAAGGAATGGGTTATGCACTCCTCCCATTTAATATTATAAGATATTTTTTTAAAATATCATATTTAAAAATATAAAGTATTTTAAATCTTTCAATATTTAATTAATGTTTTTTTTAAATACATTCAATTAGGAGTGTAATTAATAATTTTTTTAATTCAGAAACTCTAATAAATAAAAATAAACATAAAAGAGTATATAATTTTAAAATAATTAACTAACTTATTAAAAAATATATTTAATTAAAAAGATATTATAATATTATACTGAGTGCATCAAGAAAAAAAATTTCCAACAAATCTAAACATTTAAGGCCCACCTCATTAACGGCCAACACAAGTAACACTTCTAAATATGAATCACGTTCCCATCAATTTTTACACATATTTGACATTCACATTTTGTTCTGAATATCCCACACATTGCTTGCCTTTGCCTGCAATTTTTAATTAGACCATAATTACAATATCATTTCCAAGAAGATCATCATCCATTACGTCAATTGTAGAATGTGAATTGTCCCAATTTTAAGTTATTTATGCATATATTTTTTTTGAATGAAAATGGATAATACTCACAAAAATTGGAAAACGAGCAAAGTTACAAAATAAGCCGAGCATCTATCATCAACGACCACCTCCATTAAAAGACTTTATAAATACGCTAGTTTAGATATTTCTTGAATTGAAATCATATTTTTAATATGTTTTATGCATTTTTTTATGAATATATATATACCAAAAAAAAAAGCACAAGATAAGGGGGGCCACACTTTCTTTTCTCTTGTTTTTACCCCAATCCAAAGGAGCTAAGCAATTCACTATAATAAAGGTAGCATATGTTATTATTCCCTTCATTTAAAAATATAAAGTATTTTTAACTAAATTTCACTCCAATAAAGCAATCACTACTTTCAAATTAACCTATTTTTTTATATTTATCTCTATTAAACACCCTATAATAAATATAAAGCCATCCATCAATAGGAGCACTTCTGAAAAAAGGCAATGATTATATGTCGAAAAACTAAAAATGTCTTATATTTTTTAACATTTAACTTTTCAAAAAATGCCTTATAATTTTGAATGAATAGAGTATTTTTTTTTTCTTTTGTGTATAGCATCCGTTATCTCAGCCCACAAATTTACAGGGCCAAACTAATCTAGACCGAGATCGGGTTGGCTCATTTTTGGGGAAGTCTCTACCACAACCCTTGAGGGGGATTTATCATGTTGGCTGCATTTCCAATGCTCAAACTCGAGATCTTTACTTAAGCTAAGACGATCCTTATCCGGTTGATCTAAGCGTTGGTAGTTATGTTATTGTTCCTCATCCAAGCCACTAAGAGTCAATAGACAACAAGTATGTAATTCATAGGTTTAAATTCCATTGCCAATGTGAACATTTTGTTGGTAGGTGATCTATAAGTATCTTAATAAGCGCTCTTTGAGTTTAGAGATATATTCTAATTCTTGTAAGCTTTCGAAATCTAACTCACCTAAACTTTTATGTAAAAAAAAAAAAAACTGTACAAAACACACTAATAAACTTGAATTTTATTTGTGAACTTCAAGTGAATTAGGATTTAATTTGAGAATTTCAAGTGAGTTAGTATGAATTATGAGAAATTAAATTATGATCAAAGAAGAATACATTCAAGTGTCTTCCATTTTAAAACACAAGGGATCAAATTGTCTGACAAATTAGAGAAATAATAAAACTTTTAGCCTCTCAAATTTATTTCAATTATTCATTTGATCCTTGAAGTTTGATATTTATCAATCAAGTTTTTAAAGTCTCATACACAATTTTATACTCTTAATTGATTTCCTCGTACCAACATTTTTTTTTTTTGCAATCTATAAAGAGGTTGTCATCCTTGAGTTAAATGTTTCACCACATGTATGCGTGTCTAGGATTGTATGCCTTCAAACCACAAGAACTAGTTGTGTACGATTATGAAATTTTAGAGATTTGACTGATAAAAATTAAATCATGGATCAAATCAATAATTAGATAAATTTGAAGGATCAAAACTTTTATTATCCCCAAATTAAATTACAATAACCCTGTATTTTCCATAAAAAATGATTTTGATTTTAGACTAAAGCATATTAAAATAGGTGAAAGAATGTGATGTATGTGCACCAAAACGAAGGCAGCCATGAGCATGAACTGAGACTTCAAAAGCATTAGACAGCATGAATTCAAATACTACCTGAAATACGTTAAACAGGAAGATGGATAATACCTACCTCATTATATCTCCTCAAGGCAAGCATAATCCCTACCTCATTTGAAGGAAGGCTACAACCAGTCGGGTTAGTTAATAAGGCAGATGGATACTTAAGTGAGATGGAAAAACCTACTCCAAAAGCTAATTATTGAGTGAAAAAACTAACCCACCTAAATGTCTCATTAAACATCTTATACTATTAATGCGAGGCTTAATATCCTATACTACCAGGTTACTGATAACCCTCCATAGGTAGCCATTTTTAGAATTGTTAACAACGAATCTCTGATACTAATTGATGGATACCTAAGTAAGATGATGAATCTCATCCTAAAAGTTAACTATTAAAGTAAAAGAACTAACTCACTTAAATACCATATCAAGCATCCCATAGTGGCACTTGATATCCTATACTACCAACTCTCTATTGGAGACCAAGGGACTTGAAAGACAAAATTATACAGACAAGAGCTGCAACTAAACTTTCTCTAGACACTAGAACAGCACTTGAAGCCTCAAGGTTATCAACTTAGACTCAAGAGATCTTGATTCTTGATTTAAACATAGCATAGAAGAAATATCTCACTCACAAATGTCACTGTAGTCAAACTAAATGCAATTTGTTCCCCAGGCAATTTATTTGGGATAAGTATTCAATCATCTAATTTTAATTGATGACCGCTACATAATTTCACAATTCAAGTAGGAATTAATCAAATCAAAACTATGCATGACATGATTGCAGTATAACAACTCCAAAATAATATATGAAGTTGATGGGAAAATTGACCTGCTTTCCTGGGTATGAAACTAGAAATCTACCTCTGATATTATTTTCTTCTCTTCAAAATATATGGTCAAGAGACCTGTGTGCTTTTATTTAAAAAGAAAAAAGAAAAAGAAAGAAGCATATGTAATGGAATATTTTTCAAAGAGATTGGAGCACATAGAAATTTGCTCAATCAATAATTAGTCCATTATAACATTTTTGTCATCTAGAAATAGTTCAAAAGTATTGCTATATGCTTGAAAACAGTTATGTAAAGACATAGGCAACAATTTTTAAATGATTTCAATCTAAACACAATTATTTTATGTATTCTTTCTCCAAATCTAAATCTTCTTGCATCTAAACACAATTATTTTATGTATTCTTTCTCCAAACACATTCTCCACTTTTATACTCCTATCGTTATTTTCTCCTATACATGCATATATATCTTCTTTTATAATTAAAAAACAATCTAAGTTTTAGAAAAATCAGTTAAAAAAAACATTGAAAGCAAATTCTAAAGAGGACAAAATGGTCTATCCAAGCCATCCATGTGAGAAGGAATAGTGAAGTGTCTCAATCTCCCTTCTTGCCGGGTCATGTAATTTTCACATAGAAATTCCATAGAGAACTTATCTTCCACCTCCCTATTGACATCATACACAAACACATGAGCCTCTCCACTGTCCCTGCACCTACCAATCAGACCAGCAGTATATGTAGCAGTCATCCTCCCTGGTGCATCCTCATGGTACCCTGTGGGTGCATCCACCATTATCAAATCCCATTGTGTCTGATAAACCTCACTTGGCAACCCTTTCAATGCAAGTTGGCATTTGGACTCTCTTGGATCCCAAACTTCTCTACACTCTCTTCCTCTTCCAACCTCCAGGAGGTTATTTGCTTCACTCACCTTGCTATCATAGGTCACATGGTAGGGCTCTAACTTGGGGAACCTTCAATGGCAGGGTCAAATTTTTGTTTCAGATGAGATCAAAGGCACGTAAATGAGGGGCAGGGGAAAGGGGGCGGAATCTCAAGTTAAGTACTTATTCTAGACTTATTTATAAGTTACTTCTAGCATTTTTTATCAGAATCAATGAAAATCTTGAATCTCGATAATTCTATCTAAAAATTCAATAAATTTTCAACTTTATCTCTATTAAATATACATACTTTAAAAATAAAATACTCTAGTATTTAATAACTTTTCTAGATATGCTTCTAATATCTTAAAGTTTTAGTTATAAGTAAAGGCTATATTTTTTTCCCCAATACAGATCTATTCCAACCATGCATTTCATGTCACTAAAAAGAGTTGTTATTGTGTTGATCTCTTTCCAATCGCATAGATTGCTTGGTTAGAGAGGATAATGAATCTATTTATATACATTAGTATAGATGTTCTTCAATCATGCATTTCATAAGAAAAAGGTAGACAAGATTGTGGATCTCATCTGACAGGTGAAGCCTATTATTATGTTATCTCTTCCTCATTGCAAAGACACAACTGGGTGATCATTTTGTATAATTGGAAAGAGATAAACATAATGGTGGATCCCATTTGACTGGTTGAACCTATTATTACGTCTATCTCTTTCTAAGTGTGCAGATACAATTAGACTATGCGTCTTGCGTAATTGGAAAGAGATAAACATATTGCAATTAAACCCTAACAAATTCTTCCATGTGTTTGGGGGGTGGGGGGGGGACAGAGGTATTAGATCAAGTGGGGGCCAACCTGTGCTTAATTTTCTCAATCCACGCCTCATCTTCTTCAAGGAAGACTGTTCTGCCACCATAGTTGAGAGAACTCCACATGAGGCTGTCATGACCTAAGCCAAAGACTAAGAAATTGCATGGTGATCTCTTCTTAAATACTCTTGCTGTCACTAATATCTCTTTCAGAGTTTGTTGTGGGGTTATGGCTGAGGTTGTGTAATGGATTAGGACTTGAGCTAGAGAAGATGGCATCTTGCTGCAAACAAGTGAAAAATCTCTCGTCTCAGTATCGCTCTTTTCTTTCTCATCACTTAAGAAGCCTTGGCTCCTTCTGTTTGTAATGAACTTGGATTAGACAGGTCTTGGTTTGAAGAGAAGTTTGATCTTAGCCCAAAGATAAAAGAGCAACCAAAAGCCCCAGAATGAGGAGCTTCAAGTTCAGTGATTAAGTAGCTTTAGGCCTCACAGTTGAGTCAGAAATTGCAGAAGAATTAATCAACAATGGTGGTGTTATTTGGTGTGAAGTTTAGGAAGAAGAAGAAGAAGAGTTTCAAGAGTAGAGAGGTGAATGAATGGAGGCATAGAGAGAGAGAGAGAGAGAGTGAGAGAGTGTGTGATTGGTGTTTGATGCTTGAAGAAGATGGGAATATTTGATGAGGACAAAAGCGCTGAAAGAATTCTCAATGAATCAAAAACCGTACAGTGCTTGTTGTTGGATCTGCAAGGTTGATGAGATTTCTCTTTTCTCAATTACACTATAACTAGAGTGCTAGCAAAGCCAAAAATTAACCACCTTTTCATCTAATCTTCATCTTACTTGATCTCTACTTTTTATGTGACAGCGACCATGTACATGTCCTTAATCAATACTTATTATTCAAAACTAAAAATGGAGCGGGAGAACAATTCATCGTCTTCTTGCATGGGGTTTATGCTCCATGAGTCCATTTTCTTACATCTTTATCACTTTCCCTTTTTTCTTATAGCAAAAAATTTTAAGTGAGTTTAGATTCACTAGGTTCAATACATGCTTCCAAACTCAAAGAACGTTTTCTAATAGGCATTCTCCTCTATTATTATTGTTTTCCATCAATAATGTTCAAGTAATATCTTTATGGTTGTTGTTGTTGTTGAAAACAACTAAGTTTTTAGATAACAAAAGGAAGATTAGACATTGAAAATAAGTAAATTCCTTTATAATTACAGAAAAAGATCTGCATACAGGACATTGAATATATGTAAATCATTATCAAGAAAAAATCACTATACAATTTGATCTTTAGCCTAGAGAAGCAGAATGTTATGAAGTGCATTACAAACTGATAATAGATATGATATATTGCGAGCTTTCTTTCTGAGAGGTTGACAAGATAACAATTCCATTTCGATTAAAGATGGCAAACCTAATGCATTTTGCATTTCGAATAAGTGTAATCTGCTTCAACAAAATCAACTTCACCTGTACAAGTTAAATATTGAGCAACTGATCAATTCTCAGCAGAAAACCTCACCATCTAGAAACAAAACAATTTTCTGGTGAGTTAGTCTAAATAACTATCAAACATTAAACAGTCAAACTCCCATTGGCCATCGATTTCATCTGCTCATCGTGCTATCCAGCTTCAAACAACAACAGATTGTTGGTTAGAACTGAGACAGAAGCCATAATCATTGGTGTTCCGAGGACCTTTGATGAGGATGCTCCATGACCATGATTCCTGAAGTTAATTCTGAATTCTCAGCATCAAGGTTTGACAAAATTCCAGAAAAATTATATGGGCACATGCATCCCAAGTCAGAGCATCAAAGCCATCTTCTTCGAAATCTCACTATCGATTTCCAACATGGTGAAGTAGAGATTCAGTTTGGCCATTGTCACTGTCACACTTACTTATCTTGACCTTATCCAAGCGTGCCTTGCGGACTGCTTGCTGGATTTGCTTTTCATTCTCCTTAAGTATTTCATCGAGATTTTCACCTCCAGGGACTAGCGGTCCTGAATAGTATATTTGACCATTTTTTGGGGCAAATGCCTGCATCACAAAAAGAAGATCAAGGTATTACATCTTCTCTTATGTGTAAAGAAAAAACAAGAAAAGAAAAGAAAAAGAAAAAAAATCAAGGTATTGCTAGGTAGCTCCATAAGACCATAATCATATTGCTTATAAACCAGCAATCACTACATAATCATTTTTTTTATTCCTCTTTCTGCTTCCCCAGTGGGTTAGTCTTCTAATCAGTATTAATTCTGACAATAATTACTAGAGACGGAAAATTCTAAAAGGGGGTCCAAAAAAGATAGATTAACTGCCCAAATAAACATTTGAGTATTTTCTTTACCTTGGAAGGCTCCTTTGCGCAAGGATGTATGTCCTTCTTGTGTAAAGACTTGAGCAATTGGTTGGATTCGTCATCAACAAGATGGTCATATCGTGTGCCAAAGCAATCATCTGGCCACTGTGAACTCACACTAGCATCTCCACTCATATCAAGCTTTAAACCACCTTCATTGGCAACTGAATTAGAAAATCTTGACAATTGGGCAGCATTCCTGTTCATGTAGGATCTCTGTTTTCTCAACCCCACAGGATTTCCCGAATCATACACATGACCAGGGCCAGCAACAGACTCTTCCTTGTTTGAATTCATATTGCGTGAAGATCCATAGACACTTGGATGCATGGACTGACCAGAATGAGAGAAAGCATTAAGTGCTCTTGTCTTTGAAGGTTCAATAGGGAAGCCAGAACCACCATCCTCATCAGGATTGAACTTCTCACTGATACATTTAGGGTTAGCCTGCCCTTGTCTCTTCTGAAGGAAAGGGGAGGGCAAAAGATAGGGAAAAAGGCGTATTAGACAATTCTCATAAAGTTCTTATGAACAAGAGATCCATAAACTTAGTCTATGAAGCAAGGTACCTCAATTGATGACCGTAACTCAGCATTAGCATCAGGTGCTGGAACAGCTTTAGATTCTTTGGAAACCTTGCTAGCTGATTCCTCTGCATTTCTTTTATTATTTGCTGCTCTTCGTCTGTATTCAAATGAACATGTGGGTAACACAAATAGCTTGCATAGAGAAAGAGAAGGCATGGAAAGTGGAGTGTCTTCACAAAAGCAAATAATGCCCATATCATTCAGTTAAAAGAAGGAGAAAAAAATTTGATCTGAATTACAAAAATTACTCAGAAGAGTTGAAAGTTGATATCTCCAAGAGAAGGTGTAAAAGAGCCACTTTATCACTATTCTGAAGCAAGTTCATATATTATTATAGAACATTGGTATCAGGCAAGTGTTAACAGATATTTTTCTTAATTAAAAATAAATAACACAAAAAATGTTGCAGCAGCATTTTCTGTTTTCACAATTATTGACTATGCTGAAATCAGATGCAACCAAATTATTAGAATTTTTGATGGAATACCTTCTGGCTTCTTCTTGTCGAATCTTGACATCAAACTCCTTACTTGGTGGATATTTTGGCAAAGTTGAAGGATCACAAGGAAGGGGCTTAGTTGCAAAGAACTAGACAAAGAGAACTGTTAGTTAGGAAGGAAAAGGAAAGTTCAAAAAGCATATACTAACAATGCCATGAGATTGCACCATGAAAAATAAAATGGTAGAATGTGACAGAATAATTCCACTCCAGGAGAACTTGTGCTTCAACTGAAATAGAACTTATAACTACCTCGCTCTGAAGTGCTAAAGAAGCAGTTCCTCGATCCTCTGGTTCAATAGCAAGGAGGACTTCCAAAAGGCTTAATGCTGATGGAGGAAAATCCTTAAATGTCTCAGCAACAATACGTTTGTAGGGATGTTGAGGTTTGAAAATTGTTGCATGTGGTAGCTTTGACTTCTTCCAGTATTCTTCAGATGGTGATCCACAGAGTTTGAAGATTTTGTGAAGTTGCTCCACCTACAAAATAGATAGTAAGATCTCATCTTATTGCCCAGTTAAGTCCTAAAATGTTTCACAAGTTCAAAGACGGAAGTGGAGTCATGGGCCCCCATGTATTTGTAGAGAGTTTGAGATAAGCTACACTACTCATAAACAATATGGCTTCCCACAACTTTGATAGATATATTGATATTGATATTGATTAATATCAATGACAGTTGAAGTTTTCATAACAATGGCCTTAATTATTACAGGACATTTCAATTAATTGAGACCGTCTGAAATTAAGTATTTGGCAAAAAATTTACTAGCAACCCTTTGTGCTTGTACAGTTTCTTAGAGCATTTTTCAATCTTTATAGTTATCCATTAATAGCAAAAAAAAAAAAGAACATGGACAATAGACGTTATAATGTTAATGCTAGGTCGTTGCCCGTAAGTAACGCGCTGCATGGCTCGAGTACAGTGATAAGTGAGTTAGAGCCACTGCATCGGCGCCCGGATGTAGTGTTAAATGAGCAAGGGCTACCGCGTCATTCTGGACGCACGCGGCTAAAGAAGTTAGTCCATAAGAGCAAAATTAGATTTGGTACTTGGAATGTTGGGACATTAAATTGTAAATCTGTAGAGGTTGTAGGGGTTATGATTCAAAGGAAAATCAATATCATTTGCTTGCAAGAAACACAAAATGGCGTGGAGAAGAAGCTAAGGATATTCAAGGTTTCAAACTTTGGTATACAGGAAAAGTAAGTGCACGCAATGGAGTAGGCATCATTATAGATAAGGAGTGGAAGAAGAACGTTGTAGCAGTTAGCAGAATTGGAGATAGAATTATTTCTTTAAAAATGATAATTGGACGTGAGACTGTTAATATTGTTAGCGCTTATGCGCCGCAAGTCGGGACAGAAGCCAGTCTTAAGGAATTATTTTGGGAGGATCTAGAGGGGTTGATTCGACACATACCACAGAGTGAAAAGATTTTTATTGGAGGAGACTTTAATGGGCATGTCGGGAGGGAAGCTGGTCAGTATGCGAGGGTGCATGGTGGTTTTGGTTTTGGAGAGCTAAACAATGAAGGACAAACTCTTCTTGATTTCTCATTGGCGTATGATTTTAAGATTGCCAACACTTGTTTCAAGAAGAGAGATGAGCATCTCATCACTTACAAAAGTGGAGCCTCAAGGTCGCAGATTGATTTTCTTTTGGTTAGGAACACAGATAGAAAACTTTGTAAAAATTGTAAGGTGATACCCGGAGATGCTGTAACGACACAACATAGGGTCCTAGTCCTTGATGTGTGTATTATGAGTAAAATTCAAAAACGTCGACAAGTAGTAACACCAAGGATTAGGTGGTGGCAATTAAAAGGTGAGAAGCAAGATATTTTCAAGCGAAATCTTTTGGATAAAGGAATTTGGGATTCTCAGGGAAGTGCTAACATTATATGGGAGGATATGGCTAAAAAGATACGGGAGGTTGCAAAAGTAGTTTTGGGAGAATCGAAAGGTTCTGGTCCGAGAGATAAGGAGTCTTGGTGGTGGAATAATAGTGTACAGGACAAAATCAAGTATAAGAAGAACTGTTTTAAAGCCATACATTTGTGTAACAATGAGGAAAATTGGGAGAGGTACCGTATGGCTAAGAAGGAAACTAAGAGAGCTGTGGGTGAAGCTCGTTCTAAAGCTTTTGAAGATTTTATAAGAACCTTGAGACGAAGGAAGGAGAGCAAAATATTTATAAGATTGCCAAGAGTAGGGAAAGAAAATCAAGAGATCTAGAACAGGTAAGGTGTATTAAGGATGAAGAGGAAAGAATTTTAGTTACAGATGATGAAATTAAAAATAGATGGGAGACTTATTTTTCTAAACTTTTCAATGATGGAGAGGATTCATCTAGTAACTTGGAGGATTTAGTAACTGGTGAAGGAGAACAAAATTTGTCATTCTATCGAAAAATACGTGATAAGGAGGTAAAGGAAGCTCTTAAGAAAATGGCAAATGGTAGAGCCAACGGACCTGATTGTATATCTATCGAAGCGTGGAAATGTTTAGGTGAAGAAGGGGTGAGATGGTTAACTAAGTTATTTAATGTGATTTTACGGTCCAAGAAAATGCCTGATGAGTGGAGGAGAAGTACATTAATTCCTATTTATAAAAATAAAGGAGATATTCAGAATTGTACTAACTATAGAGGGATTAAACTCATGAGCCACACAATGAAATTGTGGGAGAAAGTAATTGAGCACAGGTTGAGATTGGAGACAAGTATTTCTGAGAATCAATTTGGTTTTATGCCAGGTAGATCAACTACAGAGGCGATTTATCTACTAAGGGGATTAATGGAAAAGTATCGTTGTAAAGATAAAGATCTACACATGGTTTTTATTGATTTGGAAAAAGCTTATGACCGTATACCAAGAGAAGTGCTTTGGAAAGCGTTGGAAAAAAAGGGAGTACGGATTGCTTATATTAAAGCCATACAAGATATGTATGAGGGGGTAAAAACTAGTATAAGAACGCCTAGTGGTCAAACAAAGGATTTTCCTATAAAGATTGGACTACATCAGGGATCATCTCTGAGTCCTTATTTGTTTAACTTGATTTTAAATGTTTTGACGGAACATATTCAAGAGGAAATCCCGAAATGTATGCTCTTCGCGGATGATATAGTTCTTATAGCAGAGACAAGAAAAGAGGTTAATTGCAAACTTGAGTTATGGAGGAGGACATTGGAGTCGAAAGGTTTTCGTCTGAGTAGAAGTAAGACGGAATATTTATATTGTAAATTTGGTAAAGGACTATTCGAAAATAATTTGGAAGTGAAATTGGGAGATCAAATTATACCTCAAGTGGAAAAGTTTAGATATTTGGGAGCCATTATTCAAAA